CAGCCAGCAGAGCCAGACCCAGAGCCAGAGCCACAGGTACCACTCGCGGGTGTCTACCAGCTCCTCCGTCTCGATGGGCTCTGACATACTGCGCCCGCACCCCGAGGACGAGGTGGATGCGGTCGGCACGGAGCGCCACCGGCTGTCCCACGCGGCGGCCAAGCACAAGATGGCCATCAGGCCGGCCAAGAAGAAGGGACCCAGCCGACAGCACCGCAGGACATTGGAGGTGAGTGAAGATGCGTCCATGGCCTTGATAACATATGATACTGATTTCTGCTCGTATCTCCAGTCCTCCATACCAGAAGCCAACGAGGATATGCAGAAGACATGTCCGGGCCTGAAAGCAGTCCGTGGTAAGTGACCCCAGAGGCTCTCAGAGTTCCTAGCTAATGTGCATCCTCCTTTGTTCCCGCAGATGTTGACCTCAAGAGCAGGACCCGCTCTCTGCCGCCCAAGACGACCGCTGCCATCAATACCAGCCCCAGCCCCAGCAACACGACGGCCCCCAACTCCAGCTCGAGCTCCATCACGACGAAGCGAACCAAGACAATCGAACAGGCGACACGAACGACCAGTCAGGTGACGAGCACGTCTTCCACCACGGCGCAGATCTTTGGAGTGCGAGCCCCCACCACCAAATCCACCACCACCAGCACCGCCAAGGTGACCAAGGCAAGCACAGTGCTCGAGAGCCGGGGCGAGTCGTCCACTGATGGGGACGACGCCCTGGCCGCCATAGAGAGCACTGAGAGCGGACTCCTGCGGCGGCTTATCCACAGGAACTCGAAGCGCAGCATTGCCAGGGCCAACGATGGCCTCGAGGACACCGACTCCAGCCAGAGCGTGGCCAAGAAGCTCCAGATATCGAACTCCTGCCTGGAGACGGGCTTTCGAGAGCCGTTTCTGATACCGGACAAGTCGCGACAGCAGCACGTGCAGGAGACCCGCCAGATGATTAAGCGTGAGATCCACATCGAGGCCAGCCACGGCCGCAACGCCATAGTCGGCAACTTAGGGGCAGGGCTCACTACCCAGCCGCAGATGGCGCCCAAGCCCAAGTCGGGACCTGCTGCACGCCAACGCTACCTCCCCCAGGAACTTGGCTCCAACTCGCCCGCCGCCATCCCGAACAGCAGTGCCCCAAACGACATCACCAACCTGCTCTCCAAGAGCACCCGGGGCAACGACACGTTCCAATCTACAACCCTGGTCCGCGAGCAACAGGTCAAGGCCGAGACCACCTCCCACTTTGAGCGCAAGCCACGGATCGTGGGGCTCAGCGCCTTCCAGCAGAAGCTGTGCCGCTCAAGCGACTCGGTGGGCCAGAACTCGAGCTCCTCCAACTCGCTGGAGACCAGCACGGACGAGCCCTCGCCGCTCTACTACGAGGAGAAGCAACGCAAGACGGTCGAGAAGTCGCGCAGCTTCCGCAACTACCAGGAAGAGCGGGAGGCCGTCGTCGACTCGACCGTCGTGCACAACCACATGCCCAGTCTGCCCGACCTCTCGATCAGCTTCCGCCTGCCCTCCTACTACAAGCAGAGCTCTCCCCGCTCTCCGCCACAGTCCCCGCGCTCGCCGCTCTCGCCGAACACCAAGTGCGTGTCCTTGGGATTCGAGATCAACGACAACAAGCTGCTGCAGGGGCGCGCGGATTCTTCGGGCCAGCTGCCGGCGGTGGCGAAAAGCTCACCGCAACGGAGCAACAAGCTCCTGGTACAGTCCAGTCCCGGCCCAGCCAATATCTCCCAGATAGAGCAGAACATCGACATGATCGTAAAGTCGCCGCTGGTGAGTGTCCTGCGCAAATCGGCCACAGTCAGCGAAGAGCTGACCGTGGAGCAGGCCAAGCCAGCAGCCAAACTGCAGCCGGAGCGTCCAAAACTACTGGACCTCGGAAGGAAGACAATAACAAGCACGGCCATCTGCACTCCCAGCCCGGCCAGCCCCCTGACCAAGAGTGCCAAGCTCTCACACAGTCCTCCCGCAACTCCAGTTAAGAACAACAACAACAACAACAGCGGCGGAAGCAGCCGCCGCAACTCCAGCAATGTGGAGACTCCAGTCGAGCCGGAGTTCATGAAGATCCAGCTGAACCGCGTGGATCAGGCGAGCCTGCACAAGAAGTCTAACCACCTGGTGCTGGCCAAGAACCTGAAATCCCCCACCGAGCGAAGCCAGAGCAGCGATGACCTCAGCCTGCGGCGGAGTAGTGGGGCCAGCGTGGACGTTCTTGAGCACACAGAGATGCCGCTGGGTCCTAACACTGTTCCACTTAACCTTAACCTTAGGCAGGCCCTGGAGCCGAATCTGGGCAGGCAGCCGCGTTCTGTAAGCGCGACCAGCGTGCGGACCAGCTTTGGCAGCAGCAGCGGCAGCAGCGAGACACTCTCATCCGCGAACACGCCTGTTACGACACCCATTACACCAAAGAGCAACGGCATCCCCATCCCTGTCTCCACCCCCAAGCTGGAGACAGCTCCGATGGCGCAGCATATCATACAGAAGGAGAACAAAGTAAACCGCCTTTCGCTGGAGGAGCGCAAGCGGCTCTTCCTCAACGAGGAGCGGAAGGAGCGCAATCTGGCGGAGCAGCGAAAGAAATCAATCATCAAGGCGGAGATGCCACCAGTTGTGAGTGCTCCAGCTCCTGTCACTCCGCCAAAGACACCGGAGCTGACCGAAGTCAATGGCAATACCAATCCCGTGGTGCTGCGCAAGAAATCCTTTGCCAGCTGCAATGGCAACGCCTCTCCGAGCAAGGACGACCCCACGCCGGAACTGATGAAAGTGTTTGCCCGCCGCTCGCTGAAGGTGAAGGACGAGGAGGTGGTAACCCCTGCCCAGCCAACACCTAAGAAGATGTCAGCACCCAGCGGGAGCCAGAGTGTGGACAGTGATAAGGAGAACCAGTCCAACAGCGAGGAGAAGCTGGACAAATTATCGCCCAAGTACGAGGCGCAGGTCAGCAGTGAGTTTACCAAGACATCCTCCCAACATCCCACCAGCAACCGGAACTCGGTTGCCGACTTCCGCAATCTCAACAGCAGCAACAACCACAACAACAATAACCACAACAACAGCCACATCAGCAGTAGCCTGCAGAAAGCTACCAATACACAGCAGAAGGTGGTAAGCTACCTGCCCCCCATCAAGGTTAGCAATGGAGTCCGGAACAACCTGAGCAACAGCAACAATGGAGGCGCCAAGCCTGCGAACGAGCGCTTGTCGCTGCAACTGAAACAGGCCCCATCACCAGCACCAGCTCCGGCGGTACAGGCAGCTCCACCCACCACCACTGCCTCCGCTGCAGGAGCAGGAGTTCAAGCCACAGGTGCCATGTCCATGTCCGGCAAGCCAATCGAGCGATCGGCGACAGTGGGCGAATTCAAGGGCATCCATCAGCGCCGGGCCGAGTGGGAGCAGCGGGCCAAAGAGGCGCTCAAGTAGATGCGAACGCTCTCTATAGACTGGAAGGAAAAGAATTCAACTAAATGCGAAAAAATAGAATAATCAAATTATCACTACGCGTATAACCATAGCCTTAAATTGTAAAAAGGAATAGAACAGATCCAAGTTGCGGGAGCCGACACTCGATGGACGCAAGAGTCCATTCAAAGAAACTGGTGGCGCACTCGAGTTCTGCTCCCGAATCACATTAGGAAATAGCAACTATATATCGATCTTCAAAAAGTGACTAGCGTGTATTTATTTTTAGTTTCTCTGCATGAACTTTAACGTGTCGTCAACTGTAAGGCCTAATCACTCTCACAGATTAGCAGGGAGCATACGAGTATGATATTCGAATTAACTAAAGCTAGTTTTGGATCGGTCGAACTGAAGGATTATACATTTTACATAGATTAGCTATTATTTTGCAATACGTACATATAATTTCTCCGCTATTATTGTTTCCGTAACACTCCTGATATATCGGATCCTTAATGTCAGCTGCGATTTCAGAATTTTTCAAATAAGAATACATAACCTTTGTTTATAGGCATACCAGTAAATATATACCTACATATTATAAATGTACATACAATAATACCGACCTAATAAATATCCAAGGATGCAAGAATTTGACTTTTAAATCACCCAAAAGCTATATACTGACAGTACGTATGTATTCTGGTGGAAAACTTCAGAAAAGTTTATTTTTATATTATTTATAATACCTTTTACGGAATTTAAAGGGATGCCTAACAAGGGATACCTCCCCGCAACATGGGCGACACCTATGTCATACCCTAGGGAAAAGGATATAATAGAGTTAAGAATGAGTACCGGGATCAGGATATACAGGAAACTAATCAAATGAATGTATACGTTTACAATGTATCAATTTGAGACAATTTCTTTATTAATTATGTTTTAGAGTGTCTTCATATTAAATTAACGAAATAGGGTATACAAATGCCGATACTCCTTCTGATTAGGAACAAGTCGACAATTACCAGCAACATTGACATGACAACATTGCGACGGATTTTTTTTACTTTTTTGTTTCAACCGTGTTTTAGTCAAAATACAATAAAAAAAGGAGTACTTAAAAGTCGTTAATCTTGTAAAAAATTTATTCATCAATCGGATAAAATTATTTGGGCAGGGCTGAAGGTTTTAGTAAGCCAGCATTATTCAACGGAATATTAAAATTGAGCAAAGGAACGATTACTCTCTTACATTTTTTTTTTGTTTGTACCTTTTCCGCAAAAACTTTTTTTAAGCAAAATCCAATAGAAGCAAGTGTTTAAAATAAACCAGTCAAGTAGAAAATAGGTTCACCAGTTGGATAAAATTATGTGGGCAGGCCTGAGAGATCTGTCTAGCTATAAATATTCGACGGAATATCAAAAACGAGGAATATGTATAAAAAACTTGAGCTCCTCAGTATATTTACGGTATATTTTTAAAATGAGACGGTTGGTATATTTCCGTGGGTCGATAACTACATTTTCCCAGCTGATTTTACTGCTCTGTTGTGTGTTATAATATGCAATTGTTCATATAAATAAATAAAATAGGCCACGAAAATGCTGCTGACACTACGTGTGCAGGGCACCAGATACTCTCTCCGCACGGGGAACTGCAGCCGGAGCCGTTGGCTGGCCAGCAACGCTGTTGTGGAAAAGTCACCGCCTCCCGCGCAGCCACAGCTAGAGGTGAATGGGAGCACGTACGCCACCGACAGCTGGACGAATGTAACGCCCAAAATTCTGTCGTACCTGGGAGCCAATAAGCACCTCCAGAAGGATCATCCCCTGTCGATCATTCGCCAGCGCATCGTAAATTACTTTTATGGAGCCTACCGGAATCAGCGCGGAAATCCACTGTTTTCCGTCTACGACAAACTGAATCCTGTCGTGACAGTGCAGCAGAATTTCGACAACCTGCTGATACCCAGCGACCATGTGAGTCGCCAGAAATCAGACTGCTACTACATTAACAAGCACCAACTGCTCCGCGCCCACACCACGGCCCACCAGGTTGAATTGATCTCTGGTGGACTGGACAATTTCCTGGTGGTGGGGGAAGTGTATCGGCGCGATGAGATCGACAGTACCCACTACCCGGTGTTCCATCAGGCAGATGCAGTGCGAGTAGTCACTAAAGACAAGCTCTTTGAGCGCAATCCTGGCCTTGAGCTGTTCGAGGAGACTTGGAAGGGCTCATTGGCCGATCCAAAACTGATTCTTCCCTCATCGAAATGCATGGACCAGACGAAGCAGCCCTGCCACACTCTGGAAGCGGTTAAACTGATGGAGCACGAGATGAAACACGTCCTTGTGGGTCTGACAAAGGAATTGTTCGGCCCTCGCATCAAGTACCGCTGGGTAGAAACATATTTCCCTTTCACGCAACCCTCCTGGGAGTTGGAGATCTACTTCAAAAACAACTGGCTGGAGGTTCTTGGCTGTGGCATTATGCGCCACGAAATCCTTCAGCAGTCCGGCGTCCACCAGTCAATTGGCTACGCTTTTGGTGTCGGCCTCGAGCGTCTGGCTATGGTGCTCTTTGATATACCGGACATTCGCCTGTTCTGGTCCAATGACAGCGGCTTCCTTTCGCAGTTCAGCGAAAAGGATCTGCACAATCTTCCAAAGTACAAACCCATCTCCCACTATCCGCAGTGCACGAATGACCTGTCTTTCTGGCTACCCTCCGATGTGGAGGTTGATGCTGGCTTCTCGCCCAACGATTTCTACGATCTGGTTCGGACGGTGGCTGGCGACATTGTGGAACAAGTAAGTAGAGTGGAGGATAAGTCCCTATAAATCTAACTCTTTTTCTCTCAGATCAGTCTTGTGGACAAATTTAAGCATCCAAAGACGGGCAAGTCGAGCGTGTGCTTCCGCATTGTCTATCGCCATATGGAGCGCACCTTGACCCAGGCGGAGGTTAACGATATACACAAGCAGATAGCGAATGCCAGTGTGGATAGTTTCAATGTGCAAATACGTTAGTTCTAGTCCAGTTCAGCCTCAATTTAAACCAAAAAGAAACAAACAGTAAAAGTACCAAACAAAGTCAGGTGACGTCGCGCTATATTTCTCCACACTTTCATATGGTCTTAAAGCATTTAACATTCTGTTCGATCCATTCGTTGGCGCATTTCAGCAGCTTGGGATTATCGACAAACTCCCTTTGAGTGTGCGGATCATTTTTGGCACTCTCTCCACCGCCGCTCCGGACGAATCCCGCCTCGTTTTTGTTCAGGATTCCAACGGAGGCCATTTCATGCATGTTCACGGACTTGTTCTCGCGGAAGTTTTCAATGCTCAGATGATCGAGTAGTTTGTCGAGGTCTGCGGCAGTCGGTCTACAATCCAGAAAGGCAGCAATTCTATGCACAGTGCCTGGCAGATCCTTCAGCATGTCCTCGTAACGCAGAAAGAGAACGTTGGACAAGTGGCAATGGTTCTGGGCTTCATTCACATGGCTGTAGTACGGTAGCCAGGGATCTGCAAAGTACATTCGGTGGACAAGCTTTAATATGACATATGTTGTGACAGATCACCGACTTAATCCTCGTTGGAAGTATCGCCAGAAGCGCTCAAAGTCGCCAATGTATCCCTGGGTGCGGAAGAGTCGGTTCAAGTGGTAATAGGAGACTGCAACGTCCTTGGGATTGCGGGCAACGTAAACGATCTGAAATACATGCGTAGTTGGATTACATTTGTTATGAACAAAAAAACTGCTTGACAAAGAGTCGAACCTTGCATTTGTTCTGCAAGACACTCGGCGGCAGCAAGGAGAATGGAAAGTGCGTCTTGATGAAGCGTCGCTCGGAGGAAGGCACTTCACTTAAGACCTCGTATCCCGGCCGGGAAATCTTCTCAATGAATTCCAAGGCATCAGCTGATTTATGGTTTTCCTCCAGAAGCTCTGCCTTGACCTGGCTGTGCATGAAGAGTGGAAACCTAAGGGAACAAGACGCAGTGAATACTATGTTGCCCAACAGAATTGTCAGTGGACCAACTCGAAGAAGGGAAAACGCTCGGTGAGAGGTCGCCGCTGGGCCTGCTCAAAGTCCAGGCCATTGGCCAGCAGCCAGATCAGCTCCTGTGTCCAAGTGGTGCCTGATCTGGGCACTGTCACTATCCAGACGTCATTCGGTCGCGCCTCAAAGTTGTAATACTTCTCCGCCTCGTCTTTAAACTTGTTTGGAAAGAAGTAGCCCTCGGCTCCAACCTGAACAAAACCATTCCGCTCGCCTGAAAACGAATCAGGTTACACCAGCTACACACAGGCAACATGCTAGATCGGACACACCTTTGAAGTACTCGAGCAGTTCGGCATTCGTGGACTCTTCCACATCGCGAATATCATGGGGAAATTTGAGATGCGACTTTTCCATTGCTCGCGCGACCAGTTGCCAGCGTTGACTGAGGCAGCACTGACTGTTGACTGCGAAAGCGACGTGACCCCACTGTCGGCCCGCAGAGAAAGTAAGAACTGGTTAGTCTGGAGTACTGCCTGTCTAAGCGTAATTTAAATACGAATGTACTTGCCATCATGCCCTCACAAAGAGTACTGTCGTTTTTCCCTGAAGCTTGCATCTGCTCCAGAAATTTTTTAATTGTGCTGATTTTAAACCAAGTGTTCTGGTCCCATGTCTAAAATATTGGATTATTGTATTATAAAGCGCGTAGTGTATCGATCGGTGTTCACACAACGACCAGATATTGAATGGAAGTGTATTTCATATTTGGTTCCCTGCCTGTTCTCTTTGTTGAACCTATTTTTTTAAATTACTTGCTGGAAAAGTTATGTATGTCAACGGTCCAAGTCGGTCGATTTCTAAACTTTATTTTAACGTACTTGGACCCATCATTCCTTTTATTATGTAATTTTGATCAATTTGAGCACAAAGAATTTGGAATTTGAATTTGTTTTGGGACGGTTAAGCCTCTGGCTACTCGTTTGTGTTGTCCACTCCATCGAAGAGGCTGAGGAGTTCCTGCTCCTTGCGCTTGATGCGTTCCTTGATGTCGGTGATGGACTCAGACTTCGGGACCTCACGGTTGAAAAAGTCGTCCATGGACTTGAAAACGTTCTGGTACTGATTGTCGTAGTTGGCGTACATGACGGGTGGTGGCTTCTTGGGACTGCGCTTGGTGACGGCATTGCGCTCCGTGAACTCCTTTAGCTCGTCCAGATGCTGTTCTTCCTGCAGCTCGTACGGGGCGAATCTGCGCGTCGCTTGGCGGTCTAGCCGGGAGTTAGTTTCACGACGATCCCTTTCAATTTTCTCCATCAGGGGCTGGGAGGGGATCACTACCCTGAAGCCAGGAAGCGGATCATGGCTGAGTATCTCCTGCTCGTTGGTCTGAACGCCCGCCTCCAGCAGGCGATTGGACACATCCTCAGCCGGAAGATGCCCCTCCAGGCAAGCCTCGGCCTCCTCCGCAGTCTCCTCCAGATTTATTTCCTGAGTTTCCTTCTTCAGGCGGAGGGTCTCTCCTCCACCCGTCTTCTTGGAAGGCCACAGACGAGATCGAGCCGCTTGCTTCGCCGACTCTGTCATCCCAACCTCTTTCTTGGTCCAAGCTTCTCTTGCAACATTATTGCTCTTGGCGGCCCCCTTTGCCGACCTATTCAGAGTGGCCGTCAGAGCAACAGTGGCTCGCTCGCGCTGCTGCTTGACCGACTGTCGATTGCTGGATGCCCTCAGGGCCGATGCAATGGTGGGCCGCGCCAGGCGTGCTGTGGGGCCTGTCGCTGATGTGGAACCACCTCCCAGACGATGTCCTTGCATCTTCCAAGAACCTCCGTCAACGGAGCCTCCATCGCCCGCTCCGCAGTGAGACGCCTTGCGTGCTCCCGCCGAGTGACCCGATAGCGGCGCCGTCAAAATGGCCCTGGAGGAGGTTGTCTCGTTGCCTCGCGTCGCGGCCGTGCTGCGTCGATTGTAGTTGGGGGCTGTGGAGGCACCACGCCCATTGGTCTTCCCAGAAGCATTCATCCCGCGCTTGGAAATCTGTACGTTTATACTGAGACGCAACGTAATGCCGATCAATCTTGTGTTTGCTTGCACAATAATTTTCAAGAAATTCTGAATGTTTTTTCTTTTGACTATTGATGTTGTGTAAACCAGTAACGAAAAATGTGTATTGAAAGGTAGACGATTTTCCCCCTTCACACTCGAAATGTTCAATTTGCAAGGCCAACTGTGTTCTTTATCAAAGCTGTAGCTGAAAAAACGTGTGGTGTACTTGTCTTTATTGTTTGCCTTTATTGAAATCTGGGTGTCTTTGAGTAAATGGAAACGTAAGTGCTGGCATACATAGAATTCATTTGTAGCAGGGAAAGACTTGGGCGTATTCTTACCGGTCTCCCATTTAAATAACATATATATATCTCATACATCATGTCTTTCAATTAATATTATTTTAACAATTCGTATGAGCAACAAAAGTTTAATTTTGATTCATTGAAACATATGTTTCTAGTTTTCTAGTAAAATTATTGAAATCTTGACATTTTATAAATGGAATGCATCGTTCATTTGTAACAAGTGGAGGATGTTAGCTACGCCCTTTACTTTACATAAAAATATAAATGATCAACTTCTTTTCTGTATTTATCTGGAACTGACTCCAGGAGTTTTTCGACTCTAACTGAATAAATGAATAACTCTAAATGAATAACTGCATTACGAAAGTCTCTTTGTCTAAAATTATTAAATCATATCATAAAATATACACTCGCATTTGGTGCGAAACCAAAAGGGAAGCAAATAATCAGAAATCAAATGACTTCTTATTCGCAAAGGCGATTGGAGTTACACACCAAATGCGTGCGCATTTTGTAAGTGGTTTTGCTACTAGGCACGCGGACGATCGGAGACCGCTCTAATGCCAAAATAGCAAAGTCAAAAAGAGGACCCAGCAGACGACTGTTGTATCAGGCGACCGCCCGGGTCCTCATAGGGGCTGTGAGTCAAATTGGGTTCCTTAGCTATGAAATGGCACACATCGATTTCTTCTTTTTGGTTGTGGGTTCCTCTGGCCGTGGATTGCTGTAGCTGTTCCAATTTCCGTGGCTTGTGTTGAAATGCGACTCAGACGGCGCACGCATGTTCTCGAATCGTGCGGATCCGGTTGGAATATGTCTATACTCCGTTGGTCCTCGTGTTGGTAGATTCGTGAAGGTCCTTGGTGAACTCATTGATGGAGCAATTGGATTAGAAATTGGTCGCATCGGACCCGTGAAGCTCTTTGGGGTGGTTGCGGATGAGGTTGAGGGCCCAGCTGGAGTTCTTGGAAGCTTTGCTGGAACAGATGCTTGTGAAGATGGCTTGACTGGAACTGGCTCCATTTTGGTTGAACTTGTTGCCAGCAGTTTGGCTTTCACCTCCGTTTTATTCTTCACCTTCAGTTCCATCATTTGAGCAGAGACAGAGCTAACAGCGTCCGAGCTGTGATCCACGTAGCGCGGAACCTTGGGCAATTCATCGAATAGTTTGTCCAACTCCGACTTGGCGTAGTTCTGATTGTAGAACAGCCTGGACTCCTGCGGTGGAGTGTCGGTTTTTGCTGCAGCTGAATTATAGAGGGAAAAGTTAGCTTGGGGTTGCTCAGTGGATGCGGGAGACGGGGCCAGAGAAACAAGGAGCTGTGAGCAGTGAGGAGGATGTGGCGTTAGAGAACTGTGTGAACTGTGGCTACAGGTCCGCCAATTTATTTTGCAAGTGGAATGGAATCTTCGACATTTGATTGTGCTCGGATAATATTTATTTGCTCACGATATCTGTTTCTCTGGGGTTTGTCGCAATGGCCACGACCATTGGGATTACCACGTCTAAATTGTGTGTGTCCCAATCTTTCATTCTTGCCTATTTCAGATTCTCTAGCTCCTCCAGTAGCAGTTCCGTTGACGACCTTCATGCCATTTTCATCCGGATAATAGGGGGAACCCACAAGAGTCCTTCGCGCACGGCACAGATCGATGATACGCCGGAAGTCAGGGTTCTGGCTCAGCGTACGTGGATTGCCGATCATAATCAGCATAGACATCGGCCGCGAGAGCAAGACATTCAAACGCTGTGTGGGGTAAAAATATTAGTTACAGAGAGAAGACCGTTCCAGAGGGAAGTCACTCACCCGATGATTGTCGAGGAAGCCCAGCTTGGGTGTGAACGAGCGCACAAAGGACACGATGATGATCGGCTTCTCCTTGCCCTGGAACAACTCAACAGAACCGCAATCGATCTGCGTCCAATTGCGCATGTTAAGCTGCTCTTGGATGCGTTGGTATTGGTTCTTGTACGGCGAGATGATCCCGATGTCCGTCTGCGCCACTGGCTCTCCGTTGATACCAAAGTACATTAGATCCTTTACATAATCCATTACAGTGTCGATCTCCTTGTTGTTGCACAGGCTGCGGAACAGAGAAAACGTAGATGTATACCGTAGATGATGCTTCGGAGTGGTGCCATGGCAGCTCCTACTCACCTAACCGACTTTTTGGTGTTCATTACTGTGCCAAAGGCCGAATGGAACATAATCGGGAAACATTCGTTGGTCGTGTGGAACCAGTTCTGCACTCGACAGACATTCTCTGCAATCAGAAAAAGATTTTCTGCATATTATCATATTCTGCAAGGCAAGGGCGGAGGATCTACTCACCCATGGGAGCCTGCGCCTTGAGCTCGCCATTATAGTAGAGATCGTTGTAGAGAGAAACGATCTCCGGGTGGGAGCGATAGTTCCGAATGAGACGCGTTTGAATAGCTGCATTGTAGCCACCGCCCGCATCTACCTGGTAGCACTTTCGCTGGAGAAGCCGCTCGAACAGGGACACGGACAGACCCCAATCGTTGGCCCGTTGCGACTGAAGCACTGGGCCGAGCTGCTTGTGATCCCCAGATAGAATTAAATTCGTGTCAGATGAGATCGTGCAGGTGATGCCCATGAGGGACTCCGTCTCGGTGGAGGCGGCTGCCTCATCGACAAACACATGCGAGAACACGGGCCGCTTGCAATTGTCGAGGGCGAAGCCACCCGTCGAGAGCTTGCCTGCCAAGCTGAGGGTACAGACGACGATGCGGTACTGGTGCACTGCCTCGACGGCCGGGTAAAAGTGCAGGGCATACATGTTGGAGTACTCCAGTAGCAGGTCATTGATGTTGTCGATGCGTCGATCGCAGCAAGCGGCGAAAATGCGAGTGAGGGGCCGCGGCTGGGTCTCCGGCGCCTTGGCTATGGCGCGGAGCAGCCTCAGCGCAATCTCATCGCAGGCGGTGTTCGATCCGGACAGCACGAGGATGTGAGACTCTGGCCTGTACACATATAGCTGATAAATGGCTTCGCAGATGGTTGCCGTCTTGCCGGTTCCGGGAGGGCCGAAGACAATATAGGGAGCCGGCAGCTTGGGACACAGAGAAATCTGCTTCACTGCCTGCATCTGCTCTGGATTGCTGGATATGCACTGGTTGTGAAGCTTCAGAGCTCCCACGGCCACTGGCTGGCGTGGAATCTCTGCAGGAAAGAGAATCCGCTGCACATGCTGACTGTTGGTCAGACCCAACTGCTCGAGAGCCCGGTACTGGTAGCGCATTACAGCCCGCACTGGTCGGAAGATCAGCGTATATGTGGTGTTGTCCGCCAGCTGTCGCTCGCAGGTGATGTGCACTCGCTGGGTGGATACGCCGAGGATGCGGGCAAAGTAGACCCGCGGCTGCTTCTTCAGCGATCCGAGCATCTTGTCCACACTCCGGGCCCACTTGATGATCGCATCGAAGTCCTTAAGGGCCAGTTCCAGAACGAGATTTTTGTTTTCCAACAGCTTCCGAACATCTTCGGGACTCCCATTCGGGACACTCTCGTTAATTATCAGCACGTCGTCGCCCGGAGATAGGACACCCTCGACACCTCCATTATTGGCGGAGGACAGTTTTATCTTCACCGACAGCTCCCTGCCGAACTGATGTAGTTCCACCTTCGACTGTGTCAGCCCCAGATAGTGCTGCAGACACTCTATGTCCTCCACCTGTAAGAGAGTGCGCAGAGCGCCGCCGATATTCACCTGCGTGAGCTCTCTACCCCGCTCACAGTAGTTGCGGTAGTCATTGTCGTACTGCGCCAGAAGGGACTGGGCATTGTCATGCTTCAGTGCGCGCACAACCTCCGTAGGCGGATTGGCACGGAACAAGCCCTTGCTGCGAAAGATCTCCTTGCTGCACAGCCTGTACGGGTTTATGTTGAACATGGGCTTGGGCAGGGCGCTCGTTCGCATGAAGTGGTGCTGTTCCACGTAGCGCTGACCTTTGCTCGTGAACCCGATCACAATGGGCATCTCCCTCAGGATCGTGAACACGTGCGAGTCCACAAAGAAAACCATCTCCCCACTCTCGGGCATCGTCACCGGCATCCGTCTATTGTACACGTAGTAGAACTGGCGCAACTGCACAATAATGAACTTCTGCACGACCACATCTTTAAGGTCGGTCTTTAGGGTGAAGCCAAAGTAGTGACTGTCCACGCATGTCTGGTACGAGAGCGTCACCAAGGGTTTGGAGCTGTCGAGGTGGAAGGCAGGTTAAAAGATAGGCAGGATATCTAGGCATCTACTTTGGCCTTACAATTTGGTCATTTTCTCGAGTGACTTAAAGTCCGACTCATCGCCATGGTGCTCCACATGCTCCTCATACTTTTCAATCGAGTCAAAGTGGGTCTCGCATATGTAGCACCCCAGGGAGTTGAGTTCAAAGTTCGTTGATGTCCCCATTATTAGAGTTTTCTGATACTTCAAAGGCATCGCCGTGGCTGCCGTATCGAGGACATACTGTTCGATTATGTCCCCCTCAATTCTGCCCACCACAGCAGCCCCTGGCTCAGTGATAGTCACTCCATCCCTCAGACGATGCCTCTCATCGATCGCATTAATCTTCTCCCTGCGAAACTCCATCAAGGAGAAGCTCTTAATGCGATAGTTGGAGCTTCCCCGCGGCGTGTTCACCAGGAAGTTGGTTCGTTGCATCAGAGACCCAATCTTTTTATTGAATTTGAAACGAAAAATTGCGATTATTCTCTCTGTAAATTGTTTATTGGTTACTTTACCACCCACACTGATTATCTCTGCTGCCAAGTTTCGACGTTTGCGTAATTTGAGACCTTTATTTTGCTATTGCTTTTGTTTAAAGCTGGGAATCACAAGACTCCAAGTTTTGGTTTCCGATGGCACAATAGTATATATGTACATATGTACATATGTATGCAATGAAAGAGTCATAAACTACATACATACATACGTACAAACACGAACAGACACGTACATATGTATGTACTACACACATATGAACGTGTATACATATATCTTTTATAAAGAAATTCAACTTGAGTTTAAAAAGATTACCCAGAGAACTCCCTTTGTCTGAAAGCCATACATACATGTATGTATATATTTACTTTTTTTTTTTAAGTTTGGTAAGAAAACCGAGCGAGAGATGAATCACACTCATTCATTGGTGTGCCCACAATCATTCATTGAATCGTAGGTGATACTCGAACAGGTAATCTAATCTGATGCACCAGTATTTTACACTTGTATATGAATGCTGCATGGATACGATTTTTGAGTAGCTTCGACGAGTGTCGAAGGTTGGCAAACAAAGGAAATGCATGCAAAATCTGTATGTGTTTGTATTCTTTCTTATCGCGAACGGGCTTTTCTAGTATGCGTGCGCGAGTGTCTTTGCTGCACTGAGAGCGCCCCGATACTCACGTTATAGGCTCCATTGGCTGACAGCTTGAGGCGAAGCTCCGTGTATTTGGGACTCTTTTCCAGATAGTCCTCGAAGAGCATCCGCATTTGCGTCTTATCCACGTACCAATCATTGCGAGCACTTATCTTCTGACTGTCGCCCATCTCCAGCAGAAACTGCCCAATGATTTCCCGTTCTATGGGGAAGAGCAACATGGTTTTGATGAGCAAGGAAAGCCCCGTAGCCATGGACCTGTTGCTTACCCCAGGGGACAGTGGAACTTCGTTTCGTGCCATTGCCGTTGTTGGCGATCTTAAGTCCGTTTTTTGGTGGCGTGTCTGGCGGCGTCACTTTGTTGGCGGGAGTGATCTCTTCCCCCTTTATATTACTGTTCTTGTCAGAAGCGGCCTTCTTTTTCTTGCTCTTCGTCATTTTCCTAGACTAACCGGGTGGATATTCGGTATCGGCGGTAATAGGTGTATCAATAATTAGTAATTTTCGCAAACAGCACACGAACACACACGAAATACACATATGAATAGATTAATTCAAGGTTTATCGGTATGATTGCAGCACAAAACAGAAAACAACAACCGGTACGGACAATGTTCAGTTAACTAATAAATAAGCGCAGTCGTATACTCTTCCACTCATCGATGTGTATGTGCATGCTCATGTGTGCGTCGCTTTAGAGTAACGGCGATTGTCAGAAAAATAAGCGATGCAACAGATGAAATGGAAAAGCTTCCAGTGTTGAGTGCTGGCAAAGAGGTACCAATACTACAGTACTACTCACAAATTACTGTAAATTTTTAAATTTCTAACTGCATTGGCGCTGAGCTGTGCCTCAGAGTTTTTTGGAGTGGGCTCTTTCGTACATATGTGCTTAAATGTTGGTGTTAGAAATTGTGACGTGTAATACTCTATAAAAAGTCAAACTAAAGTGTACTGGTACTGGTCTGACATGAAATTCGCTGAAAGTACAGATTTCGATTCTATGGTTCGAGTGTGACCATCCGCCGAAACCATCAACCGGCAGTTAATCTAATACATCTACAATAATCTAATATTAAATGATTTATTTATTTTATAGGTACTTAAATGAAAGGCCTAATTAGATGTTTATTTTTTAGCGAGCTTTAGCTTCTCGGACCCAAATATAACCCCTGTGTCGACCAGCTTGCGTTTCATGGCAAAGGGATTGACAGAGTTTAGAGGAGTACGCTGTTCCGTGGATTTACCAGTCGCCACCTCAGACTCGGCGTCAGCGAAAATGTTCTCCTGTGTATCCAGCGGGGCGGTTGACTCGGGTGTTGAGGGTCGAGTAGCTGCCTTGAACATATTTGGCGAATTGGTGAAACGTTTCAGGGCCCCGCGCTTCGAGGAGCTCAACTCGATGGGCTTGGGCTTAGGTCCCTGACCCAGAGATCCTGCTGTGGGTGTCATGGGGAGGACAATGGTGGCTGCTATCCCGCTCGCGCCCAGCAGCGTCTGCTGCTTGCGTGCCTCCTGGATAGCCTCCAACTGGGGCAATAATTCGCACAGGCGATCAGAGAGATGAATCCGTCCCCGCTTGGTGGCATATTTGACAGCCAGCTGTAGGAGCTCAGTGCAGGCAATCGACTCGATTAGCTCGCGGGCCCGTGTCTCGCATTCGCTGCTGCAGGCCAGCGCAAAAAGCTTGATGGCGGTCTCCTTCTGCATCTTCTCGGCGCCCTCCGCCTGCATCAGACTGGATCGCAGCAGGGCATCCTCCAGTTCCGACTTTTCCACTTCGATATCGCATAGTGGGATTTGCATGCGCAGTTCCTGCAGCATGGGGCGGGGATTGGTCATCGGATAGGATGTGCCGCGGCAGAGGACTGCCTGTACGATTTGCCGACGCTCGGAGACGGCAACCACAAAGTAATTGTTCGATACGCTGGAGCTCTGCTTCATGGTGTCACAAATGGGGAACCAGGCATTGCTGCTCTTCCTGTACAGCTGCAGCAGACCCATGTGGTCTGCCATGCTAGGCGACCCGGTTTCACTGAAGCCGAGCCAGGCTATCTGTCTGCCAGGAGTGAGTGGTACAGGCAGATGTTCGAGGCGAAGGCTAAGTCCATTGATAGTCACTAGCATGGCCGAAAGATACTGCTGGGTCTGGCTAGGAGCAGAGCTGTGATAGACCAACATCAGGCTGTGCTCGTGTCCGGCTAAAGCCACCACAGGGCCTGGTATGCTCAACACCTCGCGCTGGGTACCCATAACGCTGAAGATGCGAAGGAAACTGGAACTGGTGGCAACTGCGACCAGGTGGCTGGTGGCCACCAGCGCATCCACGGACTCGCAGTCCGGCAAGCTGAGAGACCACTCTTTGTTTCCCGCGGCGGCCAAAGCAATCACCACCAGCTTGCTGGACTCGTTGGAGGCCAAAGCCAGGGCCCCGCTGCTCAGGCTGGCCAGATTGTGCTGGTTATAATTGCTTATGTGCAGCGAATGGTGAATGCTCGCATCATGGAATTCCACATCTATGGAACTCTCGCCAGACGGCTCCACGTGGCCTGTGACTATGCCGACATCGTTCCAAGCCATGTATCGGTGCTCGAGATCGCAAGGCGTGGCGCTGGGCTGGAAGGCAGACTGCTGTTTGAAAAGCTTCATTTGAGGTGCAGCTGGCGCAGGCTCCACTCTGCTGCTGCTGGCCCGGGAGAGCTCGTCATCAATGGGATCCGCATAGTTCATGACGTCGCGTTTCAACTGCTCTAGACTAACGCCGTCACCATCATCTGCAGGCGCTTCTGAATTTCCTGCTCGCGCAAACTTAAATTTGCTTAGCAGATCCGCTCGGACGTCTTCCAATTCCTCCTCCTCCATATCGGCTTCTGCGTCTTCGCTCATGAATACGGTTCCCAGCTGCCCAGTGGCATCACAAAAGGCCACTTCCTCCTCGTCCGCCTTGCTCCAGGCCAGGCAAGTAATGGAATTGCAATCATTTGGTGGCGACTCCACAGAGATCGCTGTTCGCTTCTTTATGTCAAAGACGCTCACTTCGCCCTTGGTTGTTCCAGCGGCCAGACGCTCCCCATTTGGGGAAAACTGGCAGCAGCTGTAGTTGCTGGAGACTTTATCGTCGCGCAGCTTGTAGGCGACCTCCCAGTTGGCCGTGTTGAGCACCACAATTTCGTTGTCCACTGCATAGGCCAAAAGTTCACCGCTCTGGGGCTCAAAGGTGGGCGTGCCGTATTGAGTCGCACTCTCGAAACTGTTCACTCGTGGAAGTCCAGTAATGTTCTTCAGCTCTGTTGCCGTCTCAAAGTTCCACACCTTCAGTTGACCGTCGCCGCTGACAGAGGCCAGTAATTTCCTCTCAATAAACATGTCCAGAGCGAGTATAGGTCCTGTATGACCCTCTAGGACAATTACATTGCCCGCATTCTCGCCGCGTAGCACCTTAATTGTTGCATCCTCGCTGCCTGCTGCCGTGTACTCGCCATACACTTTAAGACACGTTGCTGGGGCGGTGAAACGCATCAGGATTCCATCGCTGTCCATTTCGGGAAACGTGTAGGCATGGATGGTGTTGCGGTCGGTGGAGGCCAGGAGGCGGCTGCCCGAGTGAGCGATGCACATGACAAACTCCCCCAGGCAGGTGGAGCGCGGGTCATCGTCGCTGATGCACGTCCAGTGGCGAATATCACCATCGGTGCCGCACGTAATGATAAACTCGCCCTTCGGCGTGTACAGGAGCCCAGTGTATCCATTGGTGTGCGCATAGCGTAGGGCACTTCGCGAAAAGCTCATTTTGTTCAATGTTCAATGAAAATAAAATAAACACAGACTCGCGCTGAACTACGGCTTTTGGCGCCAAAATGTATTACTGACAGACAGTGTTGGGCAGCGACAGCTGATTCACACAGCTGATTCCAACAGCTGATTCTGTTTTGGTTTGTTTCTCTGCCGGTACTGTTACCGCATACCATACATTCAATTTAATTTTACTAAACGGACTATGTTAAAGAACTTAACAAAGTTATCAACCTTAAAGGTCACCTGTGATCTGCGGGCCCTCTCCTCACTCACACAGCCCACGCATCAAAACATCTTTGACCGCAACGCCAAGCGGCTACAAAAGGAACGCGCCGCCCTGAGGTAAGTTTTCCTCGGGTTTTAAAGAGGCTTTCTAAGAACTGTTTACGTCCACAGTGAAGATGTAGGACTTTATGACTATCTGAAGGAGGAGGTGGGCTTTCGACTGGCGGATCGTGTGTTTGACATTAAACGCGAGTTCAAGGCGGCCGCCGACATCGGATGCAGTCGAGGCTACCTCTCCAAGCACATTCTGGCAGAGAGCGTGGAGCATCTGACGCTCACAGACACTAGTGCCACGATGCTTGAGCAGGCGCAGGGCACGCCAGGTCTCAAAATACACAAATTAGTCAGAGATGAGGAGGACTTGGATGTGGGTAAAAAATAATTTTAATTTCTTTTCAACGATCACGTCCAACTTTTTCTATTCACAGTTTGAGGAGAACTCTCTGGATCTGGTCATCTCCAGCCTTAGTCTGCATTGGGTAAATGACCTGCCTGGTTGCTTTGCCCAGATAAAGCGCAGCTTAAAACCAGACGGCGTCTTCATAGCCTCCATGTTTGGCGGGGATACGTTGTATGAGTTGCGCTCCTCGCTGCAGTTGGCCGAGCTGGAGCGCAAGGGTGGCATCTCACCGCACATCTCGCCGTTTACCCAAATACGCGATATCGGATCTCTCCTAAACCGCGCCGGCTTCACCATGCTGACCATAGACACCGACGAATTAGTAATTGGCTATCCCAGCATGTTTGAGCTGATGTGGGATCTCAAGGGAATGGCGGAAAACAACGCGGCCTTCAATAGGCCCGCACACCTTAGTCGTGAGACAATGCTGGCGGCCAGTGCCATCTACCAGGAGCTCTATGCCAAACCCAACGATAGTGGTGTGCCGGCCACCTTTCAAATCATTTACTTTGTGGGCTGGAAGCCAGGACCCAACCAGCCGCAGCCATTGGCACGCGGCACAGGCGAGGTGTCGCTCAAGGATCTGGGAAAGATTATCGAAAAGGGCGGCAAGCTGTGAAGCTCACAGGCGTGAAAATGGGGGGAAACGCTGCAAGTTCAGTTAAGTTTTATTTCAAAACGCTCTTGAACATAATCTATTACTTAAATAAACATGATTCCCTCGTTGGGAAACTTAATTTAATGATTCATGGTCTGATCCGTGTAAATATTTAACCCGGAAATTATTATAAAGAATGCACTATCATTTCGTTCGTCAATTTGTTGCGGTTTCGTATAACTACATATATTATATCTATCATAATGATTCGATTCTTCGATTAATATTTGGTTGCATTTGGCTCCATGTCCGGCTCCGGCACCGGCACCGGCTTTACACTCGCTCACATTTCTTGGACGTAACTTTTTAACGTTGCTTTGTATTTTCATCGGTACGTATATACAAGTACAATTTACAACAATTTATAATATATGTTTATTTGTAGTTCAATATGCAATCTAATAGACTTCTAACCGGTTTGTATGTGTATTAGATACGATTTGCTCTTGCTTAAATATTGTTCCTTTAGCATTTTGCATTTAATTCTCAATTGCTTAATCAATTTTCAAAACAGAAGTTACCATTCTGCAATATTCATTTAGCTCCGTTGTACCCCAAATTGGATCAACTGAGTCCGCCAAAAGCTTCTTTGCAAGCGCCATTTCTTTGTTCTCCAACTTAAACGACTTATGTACAGATGGTGTGATTGATGATTATCATAAATTAGTTCGCTACTCTTGGAAGTGGTGTGTTTGCCAGCTATGCTGCTGCTGCTGCTGTTCCAGTTGCTGTGGTAAGAATAGAAGACTCCAGGCAAGGCATAGGCAGCAGACGAAAACGAGCAGGCCCTAGGTTATTCCAGATCGTTGGTTCGTTGTCGTCTGCTGCTTTGCCAATCATCCAAGAGCTAGCGGCGATCGGGGCGGAACAGGCGGTGGTGTTGGGCTGGCTCGAGGAGAAGACGTGGCGGTGCTCCCTAATGCTGTTGTGGTATGATTTTCTGCAGCTGCCAGCGTCGAGCTAGACGCCGGCGGCAGCTGACGTCAGGTGCCCAAAAGCATCTCTCGCTGTGGCGTGCTCTGAAGCATATTGGCGGTTTTCAGGTGAATACTGTAAAGAGCCATGATCACCAGCCCGATTAGTTGGGGGTCTACAAAATTCCAGGCTACTTGTTACTTGTTACTCACTTGTTGTCCTCCAGCGACATGGTATCCGACGAGCCGTGCGAGGCAACTGAAGTACCTGCAAGCGAACTTCGTATTGAGTGCGAGTCCTCGGGAACAGTAAGCGTAACTAATAAAATGGCATTTAGTTTATTTGTTTTTGAATTATCGAACAGAACACGTCAACGTCAGACCAATCCCAGTTCGGTTTGTGGCCAATGCGTTGGAAAGAAGTTTGGTTTTTAAAATTTTCATTTAGTTTTCGTTGAGATTGGGAGGTGATTGATTGGAGTGTAAAAGTGAAGTGGTTTTTGTTAGCGGTGTTAGTGTTGTAGTGGTTGTACGAGGTGTATGTGAGGTGGTGCAAAGCGAGCCGGATTCATACTGATGTCTGAATCTGAAACATTTCTTTGCATTTCAAATATTGGATCGGTAATACATATGCATGTAGTCCTATTTATGTATATTCATTAATCATGCTGGCAAGTGAGTTCATTTTCGGTACAAAATTATATTTATTTGTGTGGTACGGTACGTAACTTTTGCTATATTGTACCCGTATGTAGTGTGTATAATCATATTGGTATAATTATTGGCTAATCAAATTACAACTACCATTTCAATTTGGCTTTAAAGTAAACTAAATTTGAGTTTCTTTCTGATTACATATGTAATATGAGTAAATGCAAGGGAAAGAAGCCTAACAAATTATGTGGAAATAGGTGCAAAGTAGTTTAGAAATGTCATTAGGCGGATATCAATAAATATTAATCGTTGTACGTAGTTTCAAACGGAATCGTTGGAATCTTAGGAGTTATCAGTTTTGGAATACATATGTAAGTAGTTATTTAATATCAAAGAAAGAGGAGGAGGCAACATAAAAGTAGAAAAAACTAGATACAAACATTGTGAACATTAATGCTAGAAAATGATTAATAGTTCAGTTTTCCCGATGCAACGCGTTGAAAATACAAAAATTAAAGCTAAGTACGTGGAAATTTTCATTGTGAGCAATGGGAATTGGAATTTAAGTTGGCAAATGCGTTTTACAAACCATAAAGGAAGACATTAACTACATAAAGAAAGATTAAATATTAGAAATCAACTAAAAACTAAAGTCGCGTGTTCTCCACGCTCAGCGCATCATCGTTATCGTCAGCTTCAGCATCATTGGCATCGTCAATGGCACTAGCACCATCACGCTGCTGCTGATCCATGTGCCTGCCTCCATTCTGCACGATATAAATACCCTGATTCGGCTCCCGGTGGCCAGCTGCTGATGTTGGCTTCACGTGCATGTGCAACTGCTGTCTCTGGAGCGCCTCCAGTGCCTGATCCAGATCGAGGCGATTGCGACTGTCGCTATCGCTGCTGAAGCTGTGCCGCATGTGCTGCAGCCCATTGGGAAGGGAATTCTGCGGCGGCTGAGAGTTGAGATAGGTGAGATTGTGGATACTCTGGCTGCGACTAGTGTCGTGGTCTTGGGCATTCTCAATTGTGGTCACCACGTATCCGTTGCTGTACAGCGAGTAGCTGCTATTTGCCGGCGAGGTGGCTAAGCTAGTGATACTCTGATAGGTTTTCATTGAGTATGCATCACCTAGGAACAAAATTACAGAAGCGATTGCGGGTTTAGTTCATATCTGGATTTACTTTCAGATTTGGGCGGCTCCATCATACCGGGCGGGGTCGGGGGCGGACGCAAACCCAAACGCAGACGCAGAAGCGAAGCGGTGGCATGTGATCGATGTAGACATACATATGTACACGTAGCGGACAATGGGTTAGACATGGGTTACAAAATGGATCATCCGATTATGTGACATGAACTTTAGGGGGCGTACTTAATAAGCGTGAACTGGATTGATTGTTTGGTTACGGCTGGACAGGGACTGGGGCAGCCCTTAGATGGTAATATTTATACAGCATAGATATATGTATGTAGATTCAGTTAGAATTAGTGCCCGTTAGATCCGTTACAGCTAAGGGGTCCTTAAAGTCCTCGGTATTCCATACAAAACCACTAACATGAACTAACTTCCATTAAATTTACTTCCAACGATCATCCCATTTCTATTGATCGAAGAACTGTCCTCTCCGCTCACCCACCGTTCAAAATTTTAATTAAAATGTAAACTTATAGGGAGTTGTCTCCCCCTACAATCCAGGATCTGAATATAAGTATAATCAAAATAAAATCTATACATCGCTATGAACAAATACAAAGAAATACATATACCATATCATAATTAAACTAAAAATGACGCTGTTTCGGGGGGACATCAATATACAGATACATAAACATTTACATGTACATAATAGTAGTGCAACACCAACTCATATTCGATTCGGGGAAACTGCTTATATTTCTTTCTGTTTTGTAAATAATGAATACATGTCTTAAACGTGATAAACAACTGTGCACCACACAATATACAAAACGGAAACTTGAATAAAAATTACTGAGTTACTTGGGTTTGTTAGTGGATTGTGGGGAAGCAAGCGTTAGTATTAGTTAGAGTATGTACAAAAGTGTGGTGGGGAATTTGTCAAACCACGCGACACTCACCCGTAGCGCACTCCGAAGTTTCATAGGACACCGTCGATTGCACATCAATTGCATTCTGCTCTTGTCTGGAAATATAATACGAGTACTGAGACCTGAGACATTGTTTATCTTTTTGAAATATGCATGTACAACCTTGATATCACATCTGTTATGACTTGCTTCTCCGTGTCTGTGTAATCGTTGCGTCTGCGACCGATTTTCTTTTCCATATCCGCCTCGACGAAGTCTCCCAAGGTCCGTGTGGGGAACTCATTCGATTTGGCTGGTGGAGGCACATCAAGCTTCAAGTCTTTCAGCTTCTTCATCACACGTTCGAGGGCATGTATGGCGTCGTCATCGGAGTAGCCAAAGTTCTTGTGGAGCTTTACTTGCAGATACTCGATGATGGCATCCATGTCCTTCATGCGGAGCAGTTCATCCTTGTGGAGATATAGAATGGTGATGGCCATAGCCAGAATGACGCGATCACCATCCAACAGAAATATGTCCCAGACGCGTAGACTCAGACTGAAGGGGACCTGCAACAGAATCAAGCAGGCATTCATTTAATTTCAACTGAAGTTAAACGATAGTGCTTACCCGCTCTACGAAGACCACGAAGAACCACTTGATGGCATACAGCAGGGCGTCAACATTGTGTTTGGTGAAATGCTTATGTAGCTTGCGCATGATCTTGGACAAAATGCGATCATGGTGGTCAATGAAGCGCGTCAGCTTGGGGAATCCCTCAATAAAAAGTCCGTGCATGCCGTATTTTTGGTCGGTGATCAGGGTATTAAGGGCCCAGAAAGCCTCCTCCTCCTGCATAAATAAGAGCAGCACGCCAGCCACGCAAGCCATACCCTGGCAGTAGCCCAGCTCTGAGTTGTAGATACTGTAAGCATTGAGCACATTGAACAGCGAGCACTGCTTGATGCTGTAGCGCTCCCGATAGGCAAGATTGTCTCTGAACTGGCGATTTACATCGGCGTCGATCTGGCGCGTCTCCGTGGAGTACTTCTTTGCCAGCAGGAGCATACGGGGATAAACGCCGGCATTGTTGGCTATCGACTGGTCGACATTGAGCAGCTTCTTCCAGGCTGGCCAACGAACGGCCTTGGGGATACCCTTGTACACACGTGTGTGAAGCTTGTCCTGAGGGGGCGGCCACTTGGCCAGCATCTTCATCCACTTTTTATCACGCTCGAGCTCAATCTTGGTTAGCTGCATTTCCTGAGAGTCGCGCGTGGTGGGCAGGCGAGAGTCGTGCATAAAGCCATATCTGCAATGAAAGAGATATGATATCAGCAGACAGTAGATTAAGGGACAGTGATTAAAGAGTCAAGAACTCACTTATCAGTTATGTGATAGATTTCGAATGTGGGATTTTCCCAGGGATCCACAATGTTGGAGGGATCGAGGCCCAGCTCGTAGCGCTTGACAATCTCCTCGCGCTCATCCTCGGCACGCCTAACCAAGGCCTCCTGCTGATCACCATCCGTCATCGTGGTCAGGCAGAGAGGAGAAGGTGGGTGAGACGGTGGCGCTGGCGGTGGCGGTGGCGCAGGAGGAGGCCACAATTACAGAACTACGAGACTCTCTTCTCTCAGTTGACTTGGGTGAGTATGGGGAGTGGCTTAGCGATAGCGCGAAACTTTGATAAAAGACAATAGCATTAACATATGAAAGTAAAAACACTCATCTACTCGTGCATATAATGTATGCACACACGACACACCAATTCACGCGGACACATGCAAACTCTCGCGAAGTTAATGTACAATCTATACATATGTGCACAAACATACACATAAATGTAGTGGAATCGATTTCGCTGAACGATTTTTGTTCAGCTGCTTGCCACAAAGCGTGGCCAAAAATGACGTGATATTCAAAATGTTTAAGGCATCGCAGCATCCAAACCCGAAACAAACTGCAAATTAAAACAACGCCCCCACTGACCCCCGAGATGAAGAGCCAGAACAGAATGGAAAGAGAGAGTGGATATCTTCTGTCCGTGACATCATTGACAGAACAGAGGATGCTTATTAGGAATATATAGTTATAAATTCCTTGCTGGTGAGTGCTCTTTATGTTTTATCTCTCGTACACTTCCTGTTTTCGCTGCGTTTTGATTTTGTTGTATTTTTGTCAACACAGACACGCACACAAGCACACACTACTGATGCCAACCAGAAAGTTTTGTTCTTTGGCTTTCACTCCCGAGATTCTGCCCAGTTTTAAGTGTGTACTGGGTGAAAGAATTGAGGGGATTTACCATTTAATTTTGTGCTTAAACTTTTAACAAAAAACACCATTCAAGTGTTTGTTAAACAAATTCTTCACTACTTTGGCTGCATTTGCGATTATTCGATTGTTACACTCAGCGATGGCACATCCCGGTACCAATAAACTCACGGCTACCACAACAATTTCTGTCACGGTCTAATATTATATATCGTTATGGGCCAGATGTTTATAAAAGCTTAACTGATATTTTTAGTTTTAGCTCAATTATAATTTATGTAAATAATTTCATGTTACTTATTTGGTATTAGTGGTACTGGTACATTTGTATATGGTGTATTTCTGAATATCGCATAAAACATCGATGACATCTATTTTACGATCGATGTTTCTCCAGGCTCTAACTTCGACCATTTTTTTTGCCACGGATTGTGTATGTAGTTTTTTTAATTGTGCTCGAAAAATCGAAAGAAAACTGGATTTCAGCGGCCAGAGATTGTAATTAAAAGTATTTGAATGTGAACTAGACAGTGTGGTCCACCGTCAGACGTAGAAAAAGCGATGCTCATACAATAATTCCACTTAATAAAACGGGTACGAAAACTGAACTCTCAAGTGCGTAGAAAATGTGTTGACGGAGACGGAGACTAGAAAACTGACGCTAGTGTAGATATACGCCAGCTTCAAAATATCCCATATAATATTAGCAAATATGGCATATGTAATGCTAGACCTCTAATTCTCGTGTTGTAATGTTTCAGCAGAACGCAGGAGGAGCTGAAAGATAATTCTGTCCACCCTTTTGAACCATAGAATATCGACTTTTAGAAGATGGTTTCCACCCGCCAAATGTGTGGCGGTGCCGGACCCGCCACTGGAAATGGATCCGTATCTGAACCAGCGTCCAGTAGCAACACCTCTCTCCCTGCCCAGAGGGAGGCGGCTACACGTACCTCCGTCTTGAGGCGCACTACAACCTGCAACAGCCAGCCGCAATCTTCGCCAGCTAGCCTGGCCTTCTCGGCCCGTGTGGAAGCTCGCCAAATCTACCGGGCGGGATCAAGTGGTGCCTCCACGAGCAGTTTGTCGAGTGGCTTGTCAGCTCCCGTTCCCAACATTCTCGATTTGCCAACGGAGCTGCTGGAGAATATTGTCGGCTTCTTGGACTACAAAAACGTTTCAAATCTGAGAATGGTAAGTCTTCCCGCTGTCACTCTTTATTTCCATTTCCATTTCCTCTAGTTCTCTCTTCGGCCCTTTTCGCTATTAAATCAATAAAAAGCAATTTTCCAAGTGCAAGCGTGGGACGGGCGCAGAGAGTTATCCAACTACCTGGCATGCACTTGTACGAGTATGTACTGTTGCTGTTATTATTTTTGCCACTCAAAGTCGCTGACACGAGTCGTCATCAGTCGCCGATGCGTTGCTTCTGTTGGCCTGGCCTCCTGTTCCCTGCAGGAGGCAATTATAACTTTGTCACGGCATTTACAATGCACATGTCTGAATCGGCGCACATACTCGTATATCCATGGTCATGCTTAGGAATAATTGCATTGTTGGTCAGCAAAAGTCAGATGTGCAGAATATTTAGGCCATGCAAGGATTTAAGGGTGATCGCAGTTCGGTGACTGAAACAGAACCTTTTGTTCTGGTGTTGGTGATGCCTCACCCTCGACTATCTGCAAGCGTGTGTACGCCTCTGTGAGTGTGTTGGTTTTTAGGTAGCGACGACAAATGTAACCTGATATAATTTAATAGCAGGCAGATCCCCACCACATTGTGGATGCGGGCCAGCAGCAGCCCAAATATGCAACCAAAACGCGAATCAATAAACAATTTGGAAGTTCTTTAGTTTGAAATCTGATGCGAATTTGCATGTTTGCAGGTATCGCATCGCTTCAATGACATTTGTATGGTCATCCTGAATGGAGCCTTCGCCAGGCAGATCAAGACCACATACAACCGTTTCCACTCGATAAAGGCGAACATGCCGCGTCGGGAGTCGGCCCGTCGCAGTCACCCATTGGCCTGCGAGTGCGACATCATCGAGACATGCTACATGCGGCTGTCTCTGCTGCACATGTCCATGGGCAAGCATATCGAGCGAGGCCATTGCTGCTTCTTTCCAGGCGCCGTAAGTGCGATGCGATGGTGTACACGATCAGCATTCATATTTAACATTTTCACTTCTCGATTTGCAGATACTGGACGAGGTGAATGCTATTCTCAAATATATCAGTATTACGCCCAAGTTGCAGCGACCTTATCGGGTGACCGACGAACTGTTTGATCTCTCGACCATGGCCATGGAGTACTTCAAGGATCGCATTGAGCCCATGCTGCCTGGGCTGGCCTATTTCAATAAGAGTTTCTATACCTTGCCCACCACAACAAAACGACGTAGGTGAAGGGCACTTTAGTTTTGTGCCAAAGCTAATCCCCCACCCTCCTGCTTTCTCGTCTGCAGCCACTCTCGCCATAGCTTCGGAACTCGCGGACAGCGATAGCAATTCCCCCCCACAGAACCACATGGTGCTCCGCAAGGGCATACGCAAAATCAAGCAGGGCATGAAAATGTACAATAATCAGCTGTCAGTGCTGCGCACCGACCTACGCACCTGCAAACGCAAAGCCGCCGAGCAGAGCAAACTGTTCGCCGAGCAACAGAACCTGTTGTCCGAGCACCAAAAGCAGACCCTGGAATACGCTAGTCGGTTGGACGAGAACGACAAAAAGAACGAGGAAATGGCACGCAAGTTGTCCACTTTGTTGCAGGTGAGTGTAGCGGGAATGTGGCGGGCCCGGTACCATGTGTAAAGCCACTCTAATCCTTTTTTTTGTCTTTGCAGGAGCTCAACAAGTGCAAGACGGAGCTGCAGTTCTGGCGCTCCAAGAGCCCTGCCATTCCTGCTGTGTGCAGCTCGTGCAATCAGAAGGTGGCACCTGTGGTGCCGCCAGAAGATTTCCAGGCACTCGTCAATCAGGGCGTCGATCCAGAGCACATAATCATCATCAACGATGATGCAGACAATGAGACCGAGGTCAGCGTTGGCGAACTTAAGGAATTCACCTCTCCGGATGAGTCCACCACGGCAAAGCTACTGGCTGTCAACTCGGCCTCCAAGAATTTGAAGCGCAAGCATCCTTCAGAGGCACAGTCCAACATACTTGCGTCCACTTCTAAGGCAGCCGACGCAGCCTTATCCCTAGAGCTGGCGTCTCCGAGTGGTGGCGGCGGCAGTGGCGGAACTTTAAGGGCAGGTGGATATTCGCCGAAACTCTTTTATGGCACTCATCAGCGAAGCGGGGTTATCGTCAGTCCAGTATCCATGAAACAATGCTCATCTCCGGCACTGGTGACCATGGCTCCCGCGCTTGAGGCTCTCGAGGAGCTGGAGGAGTCGAAGAAAGCACGTAGAGTACAAAAGGCCAACAGATGTGTAAATACGGCTGGCAAACGCAGTAAATAAGCAGCAAACATATACACTTTACATATTTTGTACGGATAATTTACATAAAACAAAAAAATCAATCTTCTGCATGTCCCGCTCTGCTTCCTCAGGATAAGGTGCAGGGATTGGGGCATGCGCTGTAGTTTAAACGGAGGAATCAAATTAATTTTACATATACATGAATCTATTATTAATGTCAAATGCATTAGGCATAACGGTTATTATCATTATTATTACTACGAATATTATCTTGTACAACAAACGTGTCTGTATGTTTTTTTCCAGCCGCCAACACAAGAGAATAATTAAAGTTTACCAACCAACACACTCTTAGACACACAACCCAACCTCGTAGTTATTGGCAGAGCAAAACAGATAATAAATTAATAATAATTTTAACTAAAATGCAAAAGCAAAAGCGATAAATATTTTAAATAAATCTTTAAAAGCATTCAAAATCAAAGACCAGCGTAGCAACGTATTAGACATGATATGGTACTTTTTTAAACTATTTAAAGATTTAATCGTGGATTACGGTAAAACATATAGTCCATATTGGAACATTCAATTTATTTACAAGGTCAGTTGTGAAATTAAACATTTAAAGCTTTTGGGAGCGATCCTTCCCAGCCAGTGGTTTGTTGCGTTCATCCCAAAGCGTAACGCCGTCACAGGCACAGATTCTCTTAAAGTTCTCCATTATTCCCGCCGAACGAGCAATTATCCCGCAGGCGATTCTGCAAAGAGATATGCACTTTCAATCAATACAAAGTACGTCGTCATTTACATACCTTTCGCCCGAGTTGCCATCAATCAGACTTTGGTCGTTTGCACCTTGCCCCAGATCATCGGCACTGGCTGTTATAACAACGGCTCTTCCGATTATCTCGGCCACCTCGAGCTCAGCATCTACGAATCGGGTTTTGGCCCGTCCACTCTCATCTGCGCGTATATTCCCCAAGTCGCCGGCATGACGTTCTGTGGCCGATGCTTCTGGGCTGCCGTGACGCGATCGACGCGGATTGTAGTGGTCGCCAACAGAGGCGCACCCTGAGGAAACGTCGCCACTTTCATGAATATGGAAGCCGTGCAATCCCGGCTCCAAGCCGTCCACTACGACATCTACCAAAACACCGGGCGCCTTTGCACTGATGGCCGTGAATCGCACAACACCCTGGACAGGCGTTCGGTCCACCACACTGCCGGTTGTGTTGATCAGGGCAACTGCCGACTGACCGCCAAAGCCCGAAAGCACCGCCTTGCGTCCGGTGGCCTCAATCTTCTCGTGCACTTCTGACCATGGACTCTCAGTCTGAACAATCACGCGCCCCTCTTGAATGTCTACATCCACTTCACCCAAACCATCCAGAGCCTTTCGCAGTGTGTTCGCATAAGCCTCGTCTCCCTTTTTCATCTGAACTGCAAATTCAATCTACACTTTAAAATGAGCGCCTGTCATCTCCATCAATATTTACCTTAACAGAACCCATTCTGATGACATGCACAAAGTGCCGACTAATAATGATAAACAAAGTTCTCTTTTTTTTAGAGTTTAAGTTAGCATGCTACCCTTGAGCAGCGTGGGATTATTTGGCCGGCCACCTGTGTGAAGGAGGAAAATGCCAAGTCAATGAATAGTAGATTGTAGTACGTATTATAGTTTTATATCAATTTCGTCAATATTATCGGTGTTGTTGTACTTTTTAACAGTATTTACAATTCACACGACCGGAAGAGCAGAACTACGCAGTAACTACACATTTGCTACATAATGGGAGGAAAAAGAGGGTATGGAAAACAGGCAAGATGGCCAAGAAAATGCAACGCATGCAAGGTAAAGTCCACCCCTTTTGCTTAATATACCTTGAAAATCGGCTGTTTTTTGATAGAATATGGTCACATTGCGAAGAGTGCTGATACGTTTATGGTCGTATGACACTGCACTTCAAGACCAATCAAGTCTGCCAGACAGAGATAACATAATAGTAAGTTTGGCTTTCCAGTTGAACTAGTGACAGAACAGCGTCATTAAAATTCCGTTCAGGTCGTTCTAAATTATCACAAATAGTGTCACATGTCGCAGCTCTTGAACTGATCCCCGTAAGACAGTAGACTAGATATAATGACGTCTTTCAGATTAGAGAGGTGATTAAGTACGTTGTTATACGACATGACTCAAAGTGCTTAATATGTTTATCTCTTAAAATATTTATTTCAGCCTAGATTGTATTAATACATATTTACAATAAGCCAAACTTAAACTCTAGCGCTTAAATATGTACTTAGGATGCACCTAATAAAATCACACATGTTCATTTCTGAAATGAAAAGCACACACAAATTGACATCTGTGCGGCCCAGAGTGGCTCGGGAAATGCAGCAGTACCCCCCAATCACCCAATCAAACTTCCGTATTGGATGCCGTGTTCGGCAGGGTCAGAGGGGCACCGCGGCCAACATTGGTGGTTGTTGGGATCTGTGCGGCACGCGATGTCGACGGTTCCGGCTCCATCGTGATGACTGTGGGTGATATCGCCGACCCCGCCCCCGCCTCCGCAGCCCCGGCATACGGATCTGACTCCGAATATGGCGGAGCTGGCAAAGCCGCTATCCCAATGGGGCTGGGAACAGCCAAGGGCGAGTGAGGTGCCGCGGCGGCTGCCGTTGGCGTTGTCAGATTACACATGCGCATCACCTCGTCATAGCTGGGCAGCTCCTTGTCGTCCTTCTCCAGCTGGCTGCGAATGCGGGCCGACTCCTCGCTGCTTGGCTCGATGAAGAATATATCGCCATACCGGTTGTGCGGCCGATCCTCCGAAGTGTTCAACGAACCCCCCTGGCGATCTGGAAGAAATGAGGCAATACCAATTAGCAACACAGTCTATATCTATCCACACGATTAGCGAGCGGGTACCAAGCTGGCGCAGTCGTTGTCGGTTCTGTACCACGGAGTCGTGCATGCGCTTTGCCAACTATCAAATCAAATCGAAATAAAATAAATCAATTATGGGCCCATTGTTACTTGTCGCTCCCTCCGACCGAGCGAGCGAGCGAGCGATCCTCAAGCTCAATGGATAATTACGTATATCAGTTGGCTTATTGCAAATATGGCGAACACAAAACCAAACGCCACAATCAAATTAGCTGTCAAAGTCATTCTGCGGCTGCGGCTGAAGTTCTATTGCCAAAATAATCGCCCCACACCACCGCTTCAAGCCAACCACCGAGTAGCGATTAGATAAACCCCCACACAGCCCACGTTTGGCACACGTTACCATTTCCAATGTCATATCTTAGATGCCTCTGTCGTTGCTGCTGCTGTTGCCGCCGTCGTCGTCGTGGTGGGCAGATCTTGGCCAGCGTTCGACTCTTGATGCGCACATAGTAGCAGGCGATCGGTAGGAGGCAAAAGAAGAAGACAACAAGAGCTATGTAGATGACCACATGGATTCCAAAGTCTGAATCGCCCCAATCCATTACGGGAGCGTACATGCTCGTATTGGGAGCAGTTCGAGCAGTTGCCGCTGCGAAGTCGTTGCCTACTGACCAAAGCCGGACTACATCCCCAACAAGCAATGGTTTCTACTTCAACGCCCATAGGGTTTCTAGGTTCTCGTTTGGCACGGCCATTGATAATCACCCGATTAGATTGTGCGCCATGTTTTGTGCACCCCGCACGTATACGATAAAACTCCGACCATATATAACCCCGTGTGGGTCATAAATTACATATAAAATGTCTGCATAGAGCCACTCCTGAAGCAACTTACACGGCGTAGAGGACATAGCCATCTCATCGATTCGGTTCGAATCGTTGGAAGTGTTGCCCCGAGCAAGAAAACATCTCTTTGCGATACATATGACGAAGCACTTAAAGTCAAAATAATGGATCAGTTATCAAGGGAATGAACGCGATCGAAATCGGGAGGAGGAGGAGTGTAGTGTCACCTGCAGCACGGCATAGGCCACAAAACCGATGGTTAAGAGTAGGAAAAACGCTATCACAGGACCCGCATCCATTTTGAAACAAACTCGCCGAGAGACTAACTCCATCCTGATTCGCGATGTCTGCAAGGCGATTCAACAACAAGAGAACTAATCGCAACTAGGCGGCTTATCAAGTAACACTTCAGGGTTTTATTGATTTATGGGGGAGCAATCGGGACGCACTCATACGTACGAGTCTCCGTTTGCAAATATGTACGTACCAATAATGACAACGCGACGCCGTGGGCGACGGCGACGTTGGTCCTGAGAACGCTGGGGCGGATTGGACCCACAGCATTTGTTTAGAATGAACCAGAGCACAAACTTGGGGGGAATATCAGACGAGAATATAAGAGGAGGAAATCATGTATAGCTCCCGATCCGGAAGAGGCTTGTACCTGCATCAAGAAGTATACTATAGGCATCACAAGGAAGAGTATGAAGAAAGCTCCCACATAGACGATGAACAGATCCATTTCACTGTCTAAACACACAATCGACGCACTTGAATAACCAGCCAATACTGAGCACTCTTCTGGGCGAGCGTTGAACTAATCTTATCGGGGCCAAGGAAGCGGGTATTGAAGTGTTGATTGGCCAAGTCAATTGACTCAACAGGTCGCTATCGCACTCGACCGCATCTCCATTTCCTTCCCCCTTGACCTCTTTTCACCGTGATCTAGGAGGGATGGGACTCAGATTCAGATTCAGTCAACCTACCGCGTCGTTGCCTTTGGGGTCGAACACGGGTTCTACGCCTATCCGGTCCGGTCCTCCAGGCCTCGTAGCAGGCCCACATGCAGAAGCGTAGGCAACAGAAGGTCACGGCACAGGAGATGAAGGCGAGGAAGAAGAACACTAGGTAGGGTGCAAGGGCCGGCATTTTTCCACCGATAATCGAGCGCGGAGGGATCTGAATCGGGAAACCACGTAGGGTAGGTAGTCGTGTGCGCCTCTGTGAGTGATATTCGCTCCATAGAGCGGCCTTCGTGCAACTGGTAATCCTCCATTCTGGGCGCACTCGAGGCGCCTCTGGCCAAGACTTATCAGCGACTGGCGGGGAGCGCTGACAGCAGGGATTGCAGGTGCGTCAAGGGCTGCCTGATAAGCATTCTGTGCCGTATCGCGTCTGATAAGATAGTCGTCTGATTGTCTGCTGCTGCTGCCTCTGCCATTCTATTGCCATTTCATGTGACGAAATGCGTAATTTATACGAGTACACACACACACACACACGTGGAAAATAGTAACCACAATATATCTGGGAGATATGCCCTGGATAATGGTGGCTGAAGGTAGAGTAATGCCAGAGTGCGGAAGCATTTAAAACAATCGCTAATTAATTCAGAGCCAGCGTAGTAACATCGTCTGTATCATGTGGAGCAAAGCACTAAACTAAAGCCAGACAAAGGAATATAGTTTCGGACATACCGGAAAATCACTTGTACCTTGCCCTGCCCCTGCCCCTGCCCCTGCCCCATATGGGAACTATAATTCAATGCCAAGACTACCAAGAATACCTCTATGCTCACCTGTACAATTGAGCGACGACGATGGGTATGATGCACTGTACCTGGTCATGGGAGTACTGACTGGGACGGGACTCGGATTGCTGCATTTCCGGGCCACATATCTCTAGAACGGGATTGGGATTGGGATTCTCACATGCTGCTGCGGTGGGCTCAAACTTACCCTCACCGGGAGGTAGACAATCAGAAGGAAGATGACAAGCAAAACCCCGAGCTGGAACCAATGGAGTTGGTCGGACATTTTACACAAAGAGCACTGGATAATTGGCTACATTATCGGATCGAAGGCGCTCAGGGCCAAGTGAAGACTGAGCTCTCTCGCCTACCATCTGGACAAAGTGTGTTTGAATGGAATGAGCTTCTGCTGTGGCCCCTCGAGCCCAACAATCGTTCGAAAAGATAAGCGAAAAGAGATAACCGTATCTGGGACTCAGCTGACTCAACGATTGTCGATGTGAATGATGAATCGACCGGGCTTAGTCCTCCTCACCTGTGTCCGCATTGGCTCCTGGCGGATCGATTCGATAGCTCTGCAGCACACGTGTTGGACCAGCACCCGCACCCACACCCGTACCCAGACCGGGACCAGGACCAGGACCACGGTAACGTGTCCTACCCAGCTGCTGAGTTGAGCGACTCTTGTTGCGGGCGCAAAGACAACACACCTGCAACGATGAAGATCAGTGGTGGGGTGTCGATATCGATGTCGGATAATTCCACGCAACTTACGCGCACGAGCACGGCCACAATGACGACAATGAGGAACCATCCCAGGAATACGCTAACGTAAACTACCATTATAACTGATCATTGGAGACTAGACTGGACAAATATGAGTATTCACCGAGTTCAAGTTCGAGTCGCGCCAGAGAACTTGCCGAAGAGGCGGAAGTGTAAACAGTAACTGCCTAATCAGACAAAAAAAGTCAAAGCCTAAAGTAAAACAAGCCTTATCACGGCATGGACAAGCCCGTTATTAATGGTATGTGAATAGATATTTTTTGCACTCGACTCGGCCTATCAGCCATGGACTTTATCACTGATATGCCCCTCGATTTCCTCACACACTCGGATTGGTACGCACCTTCTGCCACCGAGCTTTGAGCATCGCTGTTCCCCAGCATCGAATTCTGGTTCGCCTTGCTCTTGTAGCACAGCTGTCGGAGCAAACAGATTTATTGGTTAGGAACAGATCGGGGAAGAACAGAGGAAGCGGCAGGATGGGGGCTGAACTCACAAAGGACAACAGGAGGAACAAGAGACAGATGTAAAACACGTCCGTTAGTTGCATTTTGTAAGGCCAGCAAGCAGCGAGCTAAACTGAACCGATCGGATTCTGAGTTGAGGCCGACTGAATGGCTAAATACGGCGTAGAATGCCCAACAAGTGGTTGGCTCATATCACAAACAACTTCTTTGAGCTGATATAGAACGTTACCCCCCTGAATGCCGGGCATTATGACTATCTTATCGGGAGAGGAGAGCTTTTGGGGCTAGGAAAGCTTTTGGGGGTGCGTTGAGATGGACTTTCTTACCCTCGATGGACAGCCGCAGCATCATCTCCTCACGCAGAATGCGCTCGTAGACCTGAATATTCCATTCCTCGACTTTCAGTTTGACGAACAGGTAGCACTCCTTGGGGCATGGGGGGAAAGGTACAATGGGGAGAGAGAGCTGGGCTCACTTCTGCTGGGACCAACAGACTTACCCGTCCCACAAGCCAAAAGACGATCGAGAATAAAATGCCACAGAACCAGAATTCCGTGTACATTGGATAAGACTGAAGAATTTCGTTGGCAGACTTTCAATTTTTCCTACACATAATAATTTCGACAAGCAGATGACGGCTGGAGCCGAAGTTGCTTGGTGCGGGAAGGGGAAGGGGAGTCTTATAGAAGGGGGAAAAAGTATGGATTAACTCACCCGGTTCCCGGCCATAGGCGAGGCAGCACAGACATTTCCACCTGTGCGTGGGACAAAGGTACGCCTTTGGAGAAATCGAAATCGAAGTTGAAAATCACCATAATGATATCGTCCCGAAGCAGAACCACTTACCCGCAGCAGAATGAGGAATATGAGAAGGAAGGATATGAAATAGTAATATTCCACGAAAGACATTTCAGCCAGAACCGAACCTTAGCGATGGGATAAGTTGATGCAAATGAGCCTAGAGTCTAGAGGCGACACACACCTGACCCATCCAGGCTGTCTCTGATAAAGCACCGATAAACAGCGGAAAAGATAAGAAGATATCTGCTTGCATCACCTGGCATTCGCGAATCTTTCGTAACTCGGCTAACCAGATAAGCAAAGCAGATCTCTAATTATAGCCAAGTTCTGGTGTGAGCCAAATAAAGTAATCAGGCATGTGCTGTGCTGTGATTACCACTATCAACTTGAATCATTTTGTGTAAATGTAAGCTGTCTGCTTACCAGTACGTCTGGGAGCAGCTGTAGCTGTCCTCCCGGAACGACTCGTGCTCTCCGCACGACCAGCTCGCTTTATCTTGTTGTAGGCGTTGGCAAGGAACTGCAATTGAAAATCCTATAGAGGGGACTCCACTGGAGGATCTGAAACGAGTACTCACGACCATGATCATTACGATCACTAAGATCACTATGGAGAAAGAGCTGTATTCCGCACCCATTCTTGACCAAGTTCACGTATTAGTCCGTGCACAACAAGTGCCTCACGACAACTGACTAGGCTATCGACCCCCCCCATCAGTGGCTATTTTTAAGCCCGATTGCACACATCCTTATCTTATCATCCTCTCCACATTAGTGCCAAACAATCAGAAAACAATAAAAATTAAATATGTTTCTCGATCAAAATAAATCGTACCTCTGCCTCTCACACTCCTGGTGGCCATCAGGACAATCTGCAAGAGAAGATACATATATGCATTTCATGGCTTACACGCCCTCTCCTTCGCTCCCGCTGTCCCAACCCACCTTGATAAATATGCTGATGCCAAGGCCCAAAAACAGCAAGCACGTATAGAGGGCTACTGACATTTTTGGTTCGCGGGGAGGGGAGACCGTGATGGTCCCGCCGAATCAGATGAACACGGAAAGCCAACTGAAGACTCTCTCCCAAAGCAGAGTCCAACTTGTTTCTCTTTCTTATAGACTCGTACAATATTGCGATAAGGTTACGGCGGATTTCTAATCGCTATTGGTTCACAGACTATTGACTTATCGGTTAAAAGTATTTTGAAACCAATCAGCAATGATACGGGCCCGAAACTCTTGATACCCTGCAGATCGATTCCTCGCAAGCCATCTATATGACAGACAGACAGACGGGAGAGCACATTGGATTGATGAAAGGAATACTGAAAGGATACTCTTCTGTGTTACCAAATCAAATGCAAAATGCAGGGTACACTCGAATAAGATGATTAAATCCGTCCATATCAACAAATTGCGTCCAAACATTGTTTGATTACCAAAGGGAAATCACCGGAAATATGTGCTAAGTGCATTGGAACTGAAACGAATGACGGACTTTACCATCCAAATCGACTGGTCCTTCCAGTTTGTGATATCTGGACGAATTTTGACCCTTCTATTTACATATTCGTAGGAGGTATCGTTTTTTAATGATAAATCAATCAATCTTCTATAAACTTACGAGCCTCAAGTACTTAATTCTCTCCAAATGTGAACAACCGTCACTATTTTTTTATTTTGAATAATTTCATTTTCGTTTTTAGCATATTTCTTAGCTCGGAAATATCTCAGAGGCTGGGTGTAGCCTGCGAAATGGACACTGAGGGAACCACCCCTTCTTTGTCGATCTTCGGATACCCTTGCATTGTACTCGAGTGGGAAGACAGACAGAAATTTCAAGTTCAGAAAAGCAGTGCTGCGGCTGACCTGACCCATTTAAAATAGATCTGAGGCAATTAAAGCGAACCGCTCTGGTAATTATAGGGCGGTCGGACCCGAAAACAAACAGACTTTGCTGAATTGTGATAATTAATAGTTGGCCTGGGAGTGTCCGAGGAGGCTGGGGCTGGGGCTTGGGGCTGGATTCGGACTTGAACTGCACCCAAGACAATGAAAATTGTAACAAAATTGCGAATCTACTCGTATTTCGAGTGCTTGTGTGTTTTTTTTCTTTATCGCTTCTACACTCCAAGTTTCTTTATTGTTACAAATCGGCAACGGAACGAGCGAGTTTACGTAAAAATAAAAAAAATGTTTCGATGCCTTGAACTGAAATTAATGAGCCCGTTAGCCCCGAATCAGCCCCAGACCAAGCCCCATCTGAAGCCCCAGCCCCAGCCGCAACTTCAGCCTCCAGCTCGGAGTGCGAGTCAGCATTTCTTTTGTGGCGTTTGGGATTGGGATTGGTAACGCCCGAAGTCTCCGCCACCATCACTGCCCGTTAGAGCCAGCCAGCCATGCCCAATCGGACTGTCCATGGCGGAGGAGTGCATCAGAGTCCAGTCCATCAGTCCGTCAGGTGCGCTGCTCCACGGGCACGCTTCATGCTTCAAGTGCGCAACAATTGGACAAAAGCTGATTTGGCTTGCTTGGTTTGGGCTATGGGTTTTTTTCTTCTGCCCTCACCATTTTCTTTGTTGCCTTTGGTGGCGTGGATTGGTAATTTGTAAGCGGGGGCATTGCAATTGATTTCAATTGAATCACTCATACTCCAATGACCGGCCCCACCGCGGATCTCAGAGAGACGTCAGTTTCAGCTAGAGCCTATCCAAGTGGCGCTGATTCATTGACGGCCCCAACCCCGACCCCAGCTTTGACTTCCTTCCGCTTCACTCTCTCGCGAGAATGGTCAGAAATTTGCATTTCTTTGGGGGCACGCCCACTCAATGTCAAGTTCAGAGCCACTTCCTTCCCAGAGACTGTTTCCGTGCACTGACTTCTTATATGCAGAGACGTAACAGCCACTGGTTTGATCCGATCCGATCTGATCTTGATAGCCACCGAGAAACAATCCAGCTAAAACTTACAAATCATGTAGCGGACAAGTTCCGGCTTGAATCTGGCTGTTTATCATCTGAAACTTGCCCATTGTTGACTGCATAAGCGATGATTATGATGTGAATGTGAAGTGAATAAATCTCAATGGCTAATTGTGGGTGCGGGTGTGCTTGTGCAGGCTTATGCTGGTACTGCTGATGTCAGTGGAGTCTTTAATCATCAATTAAATAACTTAAGGCACACACGGCTCTGGCGCTAATGTGCGCCAATTATCTGCTCAAGTCCCCCGCTTTTCTTGAAAGCCGATTTTCAGCTACCCTTTTCAAGCGGAGTTTGAGAAACATTCCGCACCTCGTGCTCCTTCAATGCCACCCCTCGGAAGAGTATGTCCAAAATTACTCTATTACTCTAATCTAAAACAGATCCAATCCCCGCTCATTAATGGAGCACTGAAACAACGCCCAGATGTAATTAATTTCGATTCGCCACTCTTCGAGCTCGGCCTTGAACTTCAAATGCCGAGAGTGACGTGGCCAATTAGAACGTTAGCGGATCAGAGTCAGCGTCAGAGTCAGAGGCTAGACTTACTTTCGCTTTTTCATCCATCAAGATAGTACCGTACCGTCGCTCGATGGGCGCGATTCTTGTGAAATCCGCAGATTGAGAGATCGGCAAGGGGGAAACCCTGACATAACAGCGGCTTACGCACTCCCAGACGGAAAATATGTGGAGCATTAAGCATTAGGGCTAATTAGTTAATAAACAAAAGAGGGCTAGCCATCGTAGTGGATGGGAAACATTTCTCCATTCCCATTCCATTCCCATTCCCTCGCTGCCGATTGTCTGTCTCTTTCAGTTTATTTCATTTCATTTTCTTTTCTTTTCTTATGATTTCTTTGGCGGATCAGAGACCAAGAGTTTGCGGTGGTGTGTTGCAAGCTGGCCAATTCTCAATTGCAGCGAAAATAGTTGCAACACTGGGAGAAATTTGCGGGTACAAAAGCCAAAGAAAGGAAATGTCTAATGTTTATTGTACGGGACAGAAATACTCTGACTCTTACTTGTACTCGTAGTTGTAGTTGTAGTTGTAGTTATAGTGCGATTTGGGGCTTACGTTTTTGTCCAGTTTGGCTGTGACTGCAATGCCTATAATTTCCCCCAATGAACCTGACCGTCGCGGTGGTTGTTAATGCTGTCGATGGGGCAGCAAGCACAGTTATGATTATGAGAGGCCTTTGTGACAATCAACTTCCTCGAAACGTGCCGCACTGGAATGGCTTTGGCATGGCTCTGGCCTGACTCTGGCGTGGATCGGAATGGACTTGGACTTTGCATAATGGTCGGCCAGTTAGCCAGTTAGCCAGTTAGCCAGTTAGTTCGTGTAATGAATTTTTACCTGTGCGATTATGGGACAATAGTAGCTACCGGCGGGCCGGGAGTCAGCGACATTGAAGGAGACATTTGCACACGGGCAGGCGGTCGAGTGTCTATTTTGGCAAGCTCCCGTCTGGGCTCTGGTTGCGCTGACTAATCCCGGCAAACATTTATTAATTATGCATTATAATTGAGGCACCCGCCTGGGAACGATTGTGATTAGCTGCCGCCTGCAATTATCCATCAGCGTCGTGAAGTTGTTTGCCGCGACGATGCATACTCGACAGCTGCAAATGTGCAATATGACGGGTGGAGTGTAGTGGAGTGGAGTGGAGTAGAGAAAAAACCGAAAAGAAAAGTCAGCAAATTATGTGAACTTGTTATATCACCTGGCGGCCAGAGCAAGTCACTTCAACAGGCCGCAAACACTTTTCCCAAACAGCCACAATCATAACAGCAGCCCAAGCAGCAGCAAGTTGCACTTTCTTTGCGATACGCTTCTTTGCATCCATTGCCAAATCTATATGTGTATAGTACATTCGAAATATATGTATATAAATATATATATATATATAAAGATAATGGTGCGGTCAGTGTCCAGACATTGAACGCCAGGCAAATGCAATGCTTGAATGCTGCCCGCCGAAAAAGATTCAGATACAGATACAGATACAAGTGCAGATACGAGAGGCAGAGGCAGATGCAGATACAAGTGCAACAGCAACAGCAGCATCGGCTCCAGCGACGGCACAGAAACGCAAAAGTTCAACAGACGGAGGCGTCAGCATCCCGCTACCCGAACATCTCCCCCACTTGTAGGCGTTTGCAGTATTGTAAATTAATTCATATTAGCTAAACAAATGCATCCGTGTGCGAGTATCGGTGTGGTGTGTATCTGTGCGCTGTGCCTGGGTTAGCTTTTAGCATTTCATTCGATGGAATGGATGAGTTGCCGCACAGGTTTCTGTGGTCTGCGCCTCGTCGCGATGCATCGCGGCATTGTGGGAGCATCATCGCAGCAGCCTCGTTGCAGAAACCGGCGCAAATGATTTTTATTTCCATTTACCTCGTATCTGGCGTTGTATTGAAAATAGCAAACATGCAAAATGCGCCGCGAAGGCTGAGAAAATCAGCGGCGAAAATGTTAATTACACTATATCGAAGCAGCTTCTATCTGCCAGCCTCTTAGGGCCGTCCAATGGATGCAAATCTGGGGAAGCAGTTACAGATCTCAGCTCTAAATTATGCTGCTGCATGAGTAATATCATTTTCGATGCTTATGACTAACAGGACAGGCACAGGCCCAGTTCTAGCCACCCCACAAACAAAAGACTTCGGCAACGAACTTGACCATTTTAGAGCCACTCTCCGCCCCAGAGATAGAGAGAGAGAGAACTAAGCAGTGACCAAGGTATATTAATGAAAGGGTAAGGCAGTGGCACTCCACCTCTCCCCTCTCTAGCAAAAGAACAACTACACATACATATGCCTATGCGCGTATAGGTCACTCAGTGGCACTGCCTTACCTTCTTGCTCATATACCTTGACAGTAATGGAGAGAGCTCAAAGGCAGACACGAGAGAGACAGAGAGAAACATGCTCTTGGGGCCCGATCTCTTGGGCGGCTTCGGCCGAGTGCGGCGGCGACTTTTTGGTATAAAGCATTAACCAGCCAAAGAAAGTCATTCATTTAGTTGTTTGAGTTGGCCGAGCGAACCGTTAGCAGCTAGCAGCAAGAAAAGTGCTGCACTAGACAGACATTTTCCCAGTGCGACTCGGTGTTGAATAGAAATCTCGAAAGAAGACACTAGAACACCAAAACCCAAGAACACAGACCAAGTGAACGAGAAGTGAGTGCAGTGTTTCTACCAGATCCAGACCCAGACCCAGAGGATATTTCCAAAGGATTACCACGAGGCGTCTGCCACAGAATGCAGTAAGTGCTCCGCCCCCTAAGCCCCCTAAGCCCCCTAATCCCCCTAAGTCTGTGACCTAAGCACACAATGAATCATAGGCCGAGAGACCTAAACCTGGACCTGGACTGGCCCTGCAGACCAGACCCACAAATTCGTGCCGCAACCTCAAACAATAATTAACATTTTGGTATTGTTTGACTTCTGTCTGAGTCTCTGTTTGAGTCTCTGGGGTTCTCTCAGCCCAGTTTTGCCTCGCTTGGCAACCACGAAATATTCTTTTGAATGATTTCAAAACCGACCAACATACGAGTATTGTACGTAACAGAAGCGGAGACAACAGCCACAAATGCAACTGCAACTGAAACTGCAACAGAAGCAGATACGATGCTCGTACTTGGAGCGTGTCTCGGGGTTTTCCTCCTCCAATGTCTGCCCGAGTCTGCCCCTGCCTGTGTCTCTATCTCTGTCTCTGTCTCTGTGTTGGCGTGGGAGTTTTTGTTTTTGCCCGCCTGTGGCACTGACAGTTCATTCAGACAGCCAAGTACCGTCACTAGACGCTGGTAGTGGCAGCTGCGGCTCCACCAGTTCACAATCCCCAATACACCAGGGGGGATAAGCCCATTACCTAATCGGGCAGGGAGAGTTTATGGCCAAAAATTTGTGTTTGCTTTGTGGCAATCCGATGTCCAGGCCGGGTGACGGTGACGGTGACTGACTGACTTACTCACAGCCGAAGTAGATCAATCGATTAGGATTCGATTGGACCTGGTCACGCCTCTGCACGGAGACGCAGACAGAGAGAGATAGATCACAATCGCCGTCATAAATTGCCTCACATAATCGGGGACTTGTCCTTTCTAAAAGTCGTGTGGATTACTCATACGCATGCGTTATATAAGCCCCGGCGAATATGAGCGGCAATTGTATCAAATGCACGGGGCGTATACGCAATATGTCAGCGTTTGGAATTACAGTTACGCACAGAAATGTGCAATTGCCCAAGCGTGCCATGCCATGCCCCGTTACCACGCTGCCCCACCCCCACTACTCAGCAACTGCCTTCGGGTAAGCTCTTTGGATATTAGGCCTTGAGGGTATCATGATTCTGGCTAGATGCTGGCAGCGCTGTTAGGCGAGCATCTCTGAATCCTGAATGACACATACATATGAATACTCCACAAGATAGTGTTTATCCATATTCAAGTCGAAATATCATGGAAACGATCGAGCTGCAAAGGTATCACAGGTTTCGACACCGAAGCACGCATACCTTTCTTTTATTTTGGGGTGTGTTTTGGGCAATTATTGATTGGAATGGCCTTTGGCTGGAATGGATGTCTTTCTCTTTTGTTTGGATGGAATCCAAATGGCACTTTGGCTGTCATCGAACCACACAGACACACACACGCTCTTACTCCCTCTAAGCACTGCCTAGCCCTTTCGAAGGTCAGCCCCAAAATGGTAACAAATTTGTGAAAATTATTAACGCAACATTAAAACGATAAACGATGGAGATGGAGGTGGCGATGGAAGTCGAGGTGCAGAGAAAAGAAACATCAAATCCATTGCCACGAGCAAATTATGGAGCACATTATTTAGATGCCCCGAAAGCAGCCAAACGTAAATTTCAAGCACATTAAAAATCCACCTCACCCTCCCAACTGCACGCACATTAGCAGAGTTTAATTTTGTACAGAAAAAAAAACATCAGTTGAGAAAAAGTGAAAAACGAAATTAAAGCAGTGCAATGCAATGTAATTTATTTGTGGGTTTTCATGTTTCACACACACAGTTTAATGGCTTCGGAAGGGGGGCTGTTAACTGTTAACGAGCTTGCGTTTAATTAAGCTCTCAGATAAAATGCTGGTAGATCCAATGCCTGCCCGCCTTGCCTCCGTTCGGGGTTTCGTTCGGGGAGGAGCTCTTGAAGGCAGTGAAAACAAAAGACTTAAGCAACAAACGACAACGACTTGTTAAAGCTGGCAAATTACATGCTTAAAAGAGCTGGAATTGAAATGACTGGTACTCCAGGGATACTGCTCGTACAAGAAGGGAAGAAAAGGAATCTCAAAAGAGACATCCATCCAATTTGGATCCAAGTTGGGTAGCTTGCCAAATTTCTAGGATAATTACGAGCAGGTACCGAACAAACTCATCAAAATGCAGGTGGCTGGAAAGAGTACTGTATCTGTCGCAACACCAGCGCTTATGTCACCCCAAAAATGTCCGTCTAACATGACGCACACCCAACATTTAAGGAAATCAAAAGCAAATATAGTCCGAGCCCACATCGAGGCGGCTGGCTCGTAAGAGATACATCACAAAATGCATACGCAAGAAAAGTCTGCGGCAGAGAAAAATCAAGTCAGTCTCATGTGCTATATAACGAAACCAACTCTCTGCCTGGCCTGTTTTGTGGTCTTATGCCAGAAGTGGCTGGTCTAGCAAGGGGGGAACGGGAACGCGAACCGAGTGAAAACCATCAACGCATCGCCTCTATTGCCTGGCTGGGATGTGATGTAATGGCAGTACGATAAAGTTTCCATCTGGACTACAACCAAGAGCTCGAGCTGAAGCTGGAGCTAGAGCTAGAGCTGGAGCTTGAGCTGGAGACAGAAGAGTAGAGTCAGATCCTGAGACATGCAACTAATGCACCATTTATGGCAGACAGACTGGCTGGACTGGCCATGCAACGCAGATTACGACTGCGATTGCCAGTGAGAGTGCCCACATGCAGAGCAGCAGCCATAGGTGGAATGTTCGGAATGGCTGGCATGAATGGAGATGGGGAGGCGAGCACTCTTTGCATGTGGGGCAGGTGCGAGAAGAAAGCGCAGTCTTTGGCGATGAAGTGATTCTCCTCCCTTCCCTCGATTCCCAGGCACATTTCGCAAAAGGTTTGTTGACAGTGACAATGCAACAAGCGGTGGCAGGCTGCGCATCTTCAGCCAGAGGCTGCCTAAAGTTCAAAGGTGCATCAATTCCACTGCAGCAAGCGAGAGAGGCGCCGACAAATTGGCGCGCAGCTGGAAAATTCGATGCACTCGGATCCACATCGAACACTTTTCAGCCCTCATGCAGGTAAAACTGTATTAACTTGCCCCAATTAACCGCGATGCAGATGCGGAGATTCAAAGTCAGTCCCTGATCGACGCCCAGCCCGGTTGAGCGTTCACTTAGCCAGGCATTCGCATTCGATTGGCAGGAAAAGTAAAAGTTTGGCTCAGACTCTTGCTTTTATTACCACATTTATTTCACTTTGCTCAACTATTTGTGACTGCTGCTCCGGCTTTCCAAGTTGCGGCCTCAATTAGAGGCAGGCACGTAACGTTAGCTAATTGGACTGACCAGCGCCGAAGCCCGACCAGCGGCCAGCGGCCAGCGAACACCGTCCACCATCGACCGGGCAGGAATGCCTCGTAGAGATTATGCGTATGAGTAGCAGTTGACATTCAGCCAAAGCTGTCTGTGATCCGATCCGTGTGTATGTGTGAGAGTGGGTCGTCTCGATTAAATGGCAAGTTGAGCATCTTCATTGTACTCCCTGGAAGAGGGTACATCAGCTATGTAAGTCAGAGATCAATGTCCCGAAGGATGCGGACAAGAAAGTCCCACAAGGTGCTCCACACTACACTCCAGACTCCGCAGTGAGGTGTTCGGTTTAGGCATGGAACTACGCCAAGTGTATTCCATCTTCTATGATTTCCAAAGCCAAACTTTCCTTGGTGGCTTCTCAGCCTCGGTGGCATCGGGGCGGTATGGGACGGTGCGGTACGGCACGGGGACTTGCCGTTACCTTATAACAAGTTTTCTGGCCTGGCCTGGCCTGGTCTGGTCTGGTGTGGTCTTGCATAACTGGTCGCTGGGCCTGCTGCCGATGCCGATGCCGATGACGATCCGATGGGGCTGCTGCGGCTGCCTTCTTTGGTTGCAATTTGGCGGCATCTGCGAGTGGAGAGAAAAAAGGTTCGCAAAAATATTTTCCCGCGTTTTTTGTGGGTCTTCTTTCTTGATTGTGTGCTTGCCACAGAGTTTCCCATATCATAAAGTGCTTGTCTACTGGTGGAATGGCTTGGGATTGACTCATTTTATGGCTCTTTTCTGTTTCTCTTGCAGCACACACCCAGCCCTGCTACTAGTCCTGGCGGTTGCCACCGGCCTGTGGGCCAACGTGGATGGAGCCGCCACGGGAGCACCATCGGCCACGGCCACCACACCTCAGCCGAAGGGCTTCTCGGCCCGTTCGCTGGACCTGAGTGCCCGCGGCGCCGAAGAGGAGGATGACTTCGAGACCCAGGCCCAGACGCATCTAGCCTACAGGCAGCAACAACATCAACAGCAGCAGCAACAGCAGCGGCCGCAGTACGAGTACAGCGAGGAGGACCAGGAGGAGGCACCGCGCCAGGTTTACATCAATCGGAATTCCAAGCAGCAGAGCAACTACCTGAAGCAACAGCTTAAGAAGCCACTGAGCGAGGAGAGCGAGGAGGAGGAGGAAGAGATCGAGGAGCCCGACCGTCTTTCCACGCTGCTGAGCAAGTCAACCTTCAGCTGCACGGACAGGAACTCGGGGTAAGCGTTCCACTGGTCGGTCCCTCAAGGTGATACTCATCCACTATCCTATACCTGTTTCAGCTATTACGCGGACGAGTCGCTGAGCTGCGAGGTGTTCCACTACTGCCAGGAGAGCCAGAAACACTCGTGGATCTGCCCAGAAGGCTTCACCTTCCACCAGATCCACCTGATCTGCATGCCACCCTCTCACGACAACATCTGCAAGCAGTCCTCCAAGTACCACATCGTCAACGACTACCTGTACAAGCCCATCAACCTGCAGGAGCACCAGAGCAAGCCCAACGTGACGCTCCGCTACTCGGAACGCTACTTCCCCGAGAACTACTACGAGCACGAGCGCTACGACGACGAGGAGGAGGAGCTGCCCGCAGCACCCAGGCCCCGTATACAGCATCAGCAACAGCACCATCAGCAGCCCCAGCAGCAGCAGCATCGTCAAGTGGTCGCCTATCAGCAGCCACAGGTCCAGCATCAGCCACAGCCTCAAGTGCGTGTCCAGTATCAACAGGCGCAGCAGCAGCAACAGGTCACACAAATCCGCCACCAGCCACAGCCGCAGCCGACCACCCTGGCCTACCGCAAGCCCCAGCCCACGACGACCATCCAGCCACAATTGCAGTTGCATCAGCTGCACCAGCCCCAGTTGCAGTTGCACCAGCAGCGGCCCCAGACATTGGCGCCCACTGTAACGCCGGCGCCGTACCGCTTTTTCACTGCCGCCCCACAGCTGCAACATCTGCAGCAGCAGCATCAGCAGGTCTTCCGTACGCCCGAGGAGATTAATATCTCGCTGCAGCAGCGGCGGCCGCAGGTGTTCATTGCCACAACGCCAAGGTACTACGAGGACGAGTACCTCTACGAGCGCCGGAAGTGAGGAGTGAGCAAACAATCTTGTCGTTCCACGCCCTCCCCTTCCCCTGCAATCCGCCACTTGTGTACATTTCTCCCTCCCCCGCCAGTTTGGGGTCAACTCTTTTAGCTTTAAGCTGTGCTCCTGCTCCTGCTCTCTGTCCCTGCTGGCAAGGGAAGCGCTGAAAATTGAGCCTCCATGTGACGGTCTCCGTCGCCCCTTGTCAGCTCCAAATTCATAGCGCGAGTTTTGTGTACCTATTCGTAATATTTAATGTCCTGCTAGAAGAATCCGCCTTCTAACTCAATTCGTTAATAAAGGAAGCCACATTTAAGTTAGCTCCTCATTGTATGTCTATCTCCATGTACTGGTCGGCGTTGGACAGATGCATCGCCGTGCTCTTGGTGTCCTCGTCCACGACGTAGTTGGGCCCGATGATGCAGTTCTTTAGCACGGAGCCGCTCTTCACGTGCGCCCGATGTCCAACAATGCAGTTGTCTATGTTGCAGCCCTCCTCCACAATGGCGTTGGACAAGACGAGGGAGTTGCTCACAATGTTCTTCGGATTGATGACACAATTGGGTCCAAAAACACTATAGTTCAAAGAGGTCTTTTCCGACAGCTTGGCGTTGTCCGCCGCTATGATTTCTTTCGTTTGCGTAGACTTAACCAAAGCGCCAGGTGCGATCAGCGGATGCGTTTCGCCACACAGATCGTTCCAAATACTGGCCAACTTCCGGTTGATGGCCAGAAAACTGAGCGTGCTGTTCACTCTCACTCCGATGGCATCTTTTGGGGCCTGGACGGCATAGCAGCGTACAATGTCACCGTGATAGGGAACATGCGACAGCGATTGATTGAACAGCGACGTCTGCGTGATTTTCTGATCCAGAGCTGTGTGTGGGACGTACTAAAAAAAATTATTGACTTGGGGAAATGCACTTGATTGATATTGAAATCCTTACATGAAGAATGCTGTCCTCGAGCTTGGTAACCAGACCCACCTCAGAGGTAGTATCCTGAACAGCCTTGGCAGGCCGCTTGGTATGCTGTTTTTTGATAAGATGCGGTAGGAACTCTCCCTTGAACGTTGAGATATTTTCCTTCTGCAATAATGAAGTTTTAGATAAGAATGTATCCCTCTGGAAGATCACTAGTAAGTACCCTTTGTAAATAGTTGATGACCCACTTCTTTAACACATAGATGTGGGCATCTGACAGACGGCTGTAGACATCCAGCTGTCCCTTGTTCTTCAGTAAATGCCTCTGGATGTTGAGCGTCTCCTCGCAGTCGCTGGCTGCGGTCAGAAAGGCCAAACGTTGTGTAGCCGAATGAACTCCAATCAAATCACGCTCCGGCTTGTGCTTGGTCTTTGGGCCCGGCATGACCACATCCGACTCGAAGCCGCTCTTGAACAGAAGGAGCGCCAGCGCGGCATCGTGTTCGCGGAACTTGTTGATCAACGGGTACAAGCTCACGTTGCTGACAATGTCGCAGCTCACAACAATAAAGTCCGATTTGATCTTATCGTATATGTACCGCAGGCTGTCCGCTGTGCCGAAGTCACTGTCGCTAGGAATTGTGGCATAGTCAACCTTCAGTTTCAGCGGCGTGTTCTCTAGGGCCAATTGAATTTCTAGCTTCTCCTGCTCCACAACCACCACAATAACCTCTGCAGGTGATACAACAATGCATTAGAAGTCTGAGTTTCTCTTGATTATACTCATAATTGCAATTACCGGAAAAATTGTGTTGTTGCAGCATATTCAGTGGATACCACAAAAGCGGAAAGGGCCCCACCGGTAGCAAGCACTTGGGCGCATCGCCGAGGACTTCGGGCAGACGCGTGCCTCGACCGGCAGCCAAAACCACAGCCTGGAACTCGGAATTGGTCATATCGAAATCAATAAATTGCTAAATATTCAGACAGACGCGTGAAAATCACAGAATTCAACTACGTCACAAAAGCAGCTGATTAACTGAACGTAGCGCTGCCCAGCACTGTTTCCAATCAGACATATGTTTGCAGTCATGTGACCGTGTCGTTGTGCATTGTTTTTGCTATTGTATAAAACAAGTCAGATGACTTTTTTTCCAATTTAAAATGAATGCTATCCTTTATTTTGATGCTCAGATTACAGGAATTGCAACACATAATACGTTCTATGGAACAACAAAACTTTAATGCAGGATTTGCGCACTACAAAAATGGAATACATACATTTTTCTTATTGGAATATACTACATACATAAGTTGGTGGCTTGCCTTTTTCGAATTAAAATGGAACAGAAAAATAGTTTAACAATAGTATTGCTGGAATATACACACAGATGGGATAATACTTAGAAGAGCACATCATCGTCGCCCTCATCGAGAATGTTGGCTTGTTGGCGGACATCGATGCCCTGCTTCAGTAACTCCGCCTTCTTGGCGTCAGCCTTAATTCGCGCCTCCCGCTTCTTGTCCTGGATTTTCTTGAGGCGATAGAACTCCTCACGCTCCAACTCGTCCAGCTCGGAGATGATGTAGGCCAGGGTGCGATCAATACGAGGAATAATGACGTGCTCGATGGCGTTCACACGGCGGTTGGTGATCTTGATGACCTCGTCCAGCGTTACGAACGACGTTTGCAGCGAGGCCAGCTCGACGAGGAGCTTCACAGCGCTCTGGTAGTTCTTCTTCAACTTGGCCAGCTGCTGACCACCACGGGCCAGACCAGCCAATTCGTAAGTATCGGCGCCATCCGTGTATGACTCAAAAACGGGCAGCGTGACACCAGCTACGTTGTCCTTCTTGGTGCGAATCTTGATTTGAGCTTTGGTCACGTTCTGGAGCACCACCTGGTTGATATCACCCGACGTGAACTTGGCCTCGGCCAGCGAAAAGGCAGCTTCTTTCATAACGTCGCCCATCAGGGTCTTGGTCTCAATGATTTTGCCCAAAATCATGCGAAAACGCATCTGCAAGGCATCAGCCTTCTTTTTGAGCAGTCCATGGCCCTTTTGTGCTCCCGCCAGACGTGCCTTCATCAACATCTGGGCACCACGGGACGGAAAAATCGGTAACCTATCTTTGCCAGACATTTTGCGGATATTTTTTTATGTAAATTTGGCAAGTTACACGATTTTCTAATGCGCACGAAAAAAACTACACCAGTCGAAGACACTGAAAAAATCCAATTGGAATTTGCAGTGCTGTCTAGCAACTGCAAGAAATCGATAGCACACAAGTGCTGAGAAAAGTGTTGGGAAAAGTTGAGAAACGGCGGACAGCACAGCTGACAGAGATTATTCAAAAAGTAAACAAAGTTCTTGGATCTGACCTGGTGCAATATAATGTTGTTTCTGCCACGGGTTTGGATACCACAAATTCGTAACCAGCTCCGGCACTATGCCAAGAAGTCCAAGTCACAGATAAAACCATCAATGGCAGTCAACAACCAAGTGGTGCACCAGGAGGTATTCCGTTATGTAAACCCATATGCCAGGATTAATGTGGTATCCGATCTGACTGTGTTAGTCAAGTCGGCCGATGTGCACCAATACACCAGTGGTGATGTCTTCATAGCGCAACTGCAAGGCTGCAGGCCGAAGAACACAAAAGTTACGTTTGATGTCAACACTTCCGACGATGAAAAGGTCGTGAATGTTGAGGTAAGAAACACGGCGGAGAAGCCTTCACGATTTGAGTGCCATCTTCAAATTCCCGTGCGGTCAGACGTTTTCATAGAAGGAGGAGCCAACGTAAGCGTTGAGGGCATACAGAGCGAGTGTCTGCAGGTCAAGGCAGAAGGTGCAATTGTTACCAAGAATGTGCGGGCCACAAACATTTCTCTGTACAGTGAGAATGGCAACATCACCTGTGAGGGTACTCTGCTGGGAAAATCCACCGAAATTGAAACCAACAATGGTGTAAGTAATGCCTCTTACAGCTTCCAGGTGCATTAATCGATTTTCCACTTTTCAGAATATTGAGTTGGACAAGCTGCAAGGCGACAGCCTGAAATGCTCCACCAAGGGAGGCAACATTATTACAGACTGTTGCTACGTGGAGAAATCGAAATTTCAAACAAAAACCGGCCGACTGGAACTGAGAAATATTCACAAGACTAGTGAAGTGCATGTCCACGATTCAGCCGAGCTCAATATGAGTGAGTAAAAGGAAGAATTTACCAATTCCAGCTCCTAATTCACTCTCCAATTGCAGCTGGAGTCCACGGCAATCTGCAGGTGGTCACCAAAGGAGGCAGCTTGAATCTGCAGCTTTCCGAGTTGATGGGACAGTGCAGCATTTCGGCTGATAATTTGGAAAACGATGCCGTTATCCACATATCAGACAGCATTGAAAAGGAGTTGAACATCGAAGTAACAACAGCATCTGAGGTCAGGTTAGACGACGAGCTAGCGCATGTGTCACATGCGCTGAGCGAAGACAAGAGCAAATTCTTACTTAGCAATGAGAATCAGCATCATCGACTGATAGTCAACAGCACTGGGGAAAAAGGCGTTCGATTGGGAAAGCAATCCTGGAGCGACATGATGCGGCGGAAGCTGCAGGACATAGCCACTGAAAATCAAAATTAAAATAAGACTCATTAAGTTACGAATATATTGTGCTGTAAGCTAAAATATCAGTCCTTTCTTTTTGTTTTCCCTATTAAGAAGGGCTACTCTTAGGCTTGGCCCGATTTCTTTTCTAAAGCATCGCTCAGGCGCTCGTGGGCCTTTGAGAAGAGAACATCCTGTTCAGCCATTAGAGCCGAAATAAAGAGTTTGATTTTGTTGGCATCAATGTCGTGTAGATTCTGTATGTCCTCCGTATTCTTTGCCTTGACAAGCATGCAGGCAAGCAGCCGCAGCAGCTTCGAGGAATTCTCTACATACTGCTCCTTGGGAGAATCATCCTCGTCCTCCTCGCCTTCAAAGTCATTGTTGTCTGCATCGCCTTCGGTGTAGTTTTCAATGTGCTGTCTTAGTCTTGACCACACTTCTAGAAGATTTTTGAACGCCTCTTTTTGATAGAAATAATTTAGCCGCTGGAATGGAGGCAATTGATTAGTGTTTCAGGATTCAGAGATGAGCTTTCGCCTTACACTGCAAATATGAGCCAGATCCTCGAGATACTCTTCTTGACGTTCGCCCAATGGAAGAAGCTGCTGTGGCTGCAGAAGGAATTCCAGAATCCGCGTCAAGCAGCTTACGATGCTGGGCGCGTAGACATCCATAGACGCCTGGGCTTCAGGCAGTTGAACGAGAATGGTGCAAATGTTGAGGTAGGTTTGTATGATCTCCACATCACAGGTTATTTTGGGCGAACACGACTCGTAGCCGACATCTGCATCTTCCTCGTCTTCGTCTTGTTCGACGGCCTGGCCATCATCCTCCGCCACGACGTCATCAGCCAATTTTGCCTTATCATCGCGCATGAGGCGCAGAAAAGAACTGTTCACGCCATCGCAGAGCTCCTGCACCAGGAAAACCTCCGCAAAGGGCTTAAGCTTGACTGTAGAGTTGGCATTTTCCTCCTCGATTAAGGCACAGCTGGCCAGTACAGCATTGATAGCTTTCAAGGCAGCCGTAAGAAGGTCGTCGCTTACCGACTGCTGCAGAATGAAGCCGAGATTCCTGGCCGAGCCATCGAAGGCGGCGAAGCAGACGTACCAATCTATAGCAAACTGCTCCTTGCCGCTCGTCACATGTACCATTATGTACTGATAGACACGCATGAGTTGGATCAGCATGCAGGTGTCCATGCAGGTGGCAAGCTTGAGGAGCGTCTCAATCCACTCCGCATTAGCCGTCAGCTGCTCCACGCACTGAGCCTGAGCACACATGTTGCCCAGCAGACCGATGAGTATCTCATAGAGGCGCATATCATCGCTTCCGGAGATGGCGTACATAAGCAGCTCGATAGCATCGTTTTCCAGCAAGAGAGTCACCACCTCCGGCGACACGGACATGTCCCAAACCTTGCACAACTCATCCTCCAACTCCTGCCCCAGCGTTTCAATAGCCTCCTGTTGGCTGAGCTTCATCAGCGTCTGCAGTATGAAACGCCTGCTGTACATTGTCTCACCCACAGCATCCCCACGCATGCGCTCCAACAGCTCCTCATCATTCTCGTCGTCTGGGTCGTCGTCGTTGTTTTTGACGCCATGGGCGGGCGGGGGAGTGTCTGATTCGTTGCTGCCACTCGCACTGGTGCTCCTAGCGTCGTTTCCTTTTCGAATGTGTTCTGCTGGCAGCGTTTCATTGCTTGATGCAGCTCCTGGAGCTACGCCACTGTTTCCGCTACCCGCGGCAAGGTCGACATCTTCGTTGGGCATCTTGAATCTTTTAGCCCATTGATGAATAAAGTTTCTACACAATTGGTTAGTTTTTAGTCCTTGCTTTTATTGTATTTTGACTAAAACAGGGGTTTCGCGTTTATCGTTTTTTGGGCAAAATTTTACATTGACCCGCCAGTGCGACCATATGGATGAAATATACCGTCCGACCGTCAGAAATATACCAAAATATACCGTCTCATTTAAAAAATATACCGCAAAAATACTGACGAATTCAAATTTTAGTTTACATATTCCTCGTTTTTTATCTTCCGCGGAATATTCTCAGCTATATAGCACATTTAGCCGTGCCCACATATTTTTATACGATTCATGAATAATTTTTCTACTTAACTGGTTTATTCTAAATACTTGCTTTTATTGCATTTTGCATAAAAAGAGATTTTAGCGAAATAAGTCAAACAAAAAACAGGTAGCGAAATAGGTCAATATTTTCAATTGTTCAAATGTTTTCCAATTGTTTTGATGTTTTGATGAATATAAGTATTGAAAAATCATCCTTGCTGTATACTGAATGGGGGAAACTATCCCGATTACAAAAAGGCGTGGCACGCCCACATCGGTTCACAAATAGCGGAGAAAACTAAATATTTTCGATTGGGAAAAATGCTCTTAATCCTTTTGAAATTTTTTGAAATTTTATTTTCAATTTATTTTCCCCAAAAGTATGCAACGCTTTTTAATATATGCTTTGTCCGCTCAATTGGCCAAAAAGGAGAGTTTCACGACTGGGATACCAGGCAAACAGAAATCAGCAAAGAGTCGCTGGTTTTTTAAAATTTCTTTTAGTTTTATTTTTCAGTTCTTCGGAAGTTTTATTTTAAGCAAAAAAAAAGTTTGAGAGAAATGAAGAAAATATTAAAAAACGGAAAAATTAAATTAAAAGGAATTACGAAAAACCAGCGACCGTCTGCTGATTTCTGTTCGCCTGGTATCCCAGATCTGAAAATCGAAAAATTTCGGTTTTGAGTGCCCCAAAATGGAAAGTAGTTGTTGTAATAACTGGATGTTGTTGTAGTTTGTTGTTTATGGCATAAGTCCGCCATTTCTTGTCCGGTCGGGAAGTGCGACGGCTTCCTCCGTTCGGAATAGCTTCCTTTATCTTATTCATTCCATATCAAGCACCAAAGAGTCAAGGACCAAGGAGTCAAGGACCAAAGATCAAGGGTTTTTTTTTCCAGACATATATCTAGTTTTCTCCCTTATTTGTGGCCCTTTCGTGGCTAACCGTGGCCCGACGCCTTCCTGTGATTGAAAAAATGTCCCTGATTTGATGGAATCCTTATCAAGGATCAAGGACATTTTTCTCAATTAAAAGTATTTAGTTTTATCCACAATTTGTAATCGGGATAGTTTCCCCGATATAGGATACAGCAAGGATTATTTTTCAATAGTTTTATTTATAGTACAAATAAATAAACAAGTGGAAAACAATTATATCTACTATCTAAGTATATTGACGCGTATTTCCTTAAACCTAACAGCAACGATATCTATCTAGAATCTAGTAGCCATAGTCAAAGTCCTTTTTGTCGATGGCCAGGTCGAAGGATGACGATGGCTCGTTAGGTTCCGATCTTGGAAGGGATGAGCCGTGCGCCTCTGTCCTGCTGTGATATGATTCTGTCTAGCTGGGATAGGACTCCATCTGTTTCGAATAGTCCTCGACAATGATTGGATATGACTCCGTCTGGCGGGGGGAAACCGGATACGACTCGGATGCAATTCCGCCGACGATCTCTGGTCCTTGCTGCTGCGGACGGGTCGACTCCGCGACACAGCACCGGCATCATGGCTATATCTCGCAGCAGGACAACCAGTAGCTGCTACATTCCAGCAACGCACATCCCTTGGACCCCCCAGAGGACAGGAGGTCCGGCTTGGCATCGAAAGAATCGAGCCAAAATATTGAATATTGCATGCATTTCGTATTTTAAGATAGAAGGATACGTAATCTTGGACGATTAGAATTTCCTCGTCCTCGAGCATGGCAAATTTCTTTGGCTGTTTTTGCCTGTTGTTCACACCTTTCGATAGCTCAGCGGTGGTTCGATCAAACCCAAGTTTTTTACGCTAGGATAGGGCGTTAGGCAGAATATAGCGATATATATCCGGCTGAAAAATGTATGTACGGAGATATGTCGCTATGCCGTCTGTCCACCCTGTGCCAGTAATCTTGTGTCCAGCACGACAGGATTTCTAGGATCTGCCGCCACAGTAAAACATTGTTTAAAGCAGTTTGCGTATGAACTAGGATCTCTTATTAATTAATGACTTAGAAGAATAACAGATAATCACAGTTTATGCGCTTTTTGGCTTGCTGCTGGACCTCAGCAACAAGCTCGACAGATTGCTGTAGGGCACCTCAAACGCCAGGGAGAAAACGATGGAGACCAGGTACACAATCAGAGTGAAGCCGCAGGAGACCACGGACTGAAAGGAAGTAGGAACTTGGTTAAGAAAGGCTAAACTGAAACCAACGAGCGATTATAACCCACCAGCATGAAGGGGTCCGCGTCTGTGCTGGAACTGGTCAAACTATAGAAGAGGCTAATCACTAGTGGATTCATCAGGTAAATGGCATACGAGAGTCGATTCAGGTGCTGGAAGCACTTGGCCTCAAGCATGCGCGACCACCACACCCCAGTGGCCGTCGCACTGCCCAGAATCATCCAGCACACCGACAGGGAGAAGATCCCTCGTCCCAGCACGAAAAGCGTGGTGGTCAGCAGACGTCCCACATCCCGCCGGACAGTCGCGTAAATGCTAGATATGAATACACTTAAGGCGAAGTGCCAGAGCCAGCGCGTCTGCTGCTCACTCAGCTCCACCTGCAGGCGCCGCTCCAGCAGACACCAGGCTGCGATGGCCCCAATAATGTACGGAAGGACGCGCACAAAGGGACTCGTATAGATCTGGGTACCGGTGGCGTAGGTGGCGTCGAATGAGAACTCTAACTTGTAGCTCATGCAAATGCCATAGGACCAGGTGATGGTGGCCAGGAGTCCAGTGATCGTCAACAGCTTGGCAACTTTCGGATGTCTGTTGGCAATAGGAGTGTAAAGGATACATATGTCACGATACTATGATGACAAGCCTCCCCGATCTCACCTGGCATAGACAAAGAGAATGACATTCGCCACTAGGAAAAACTGCATGTCGCAGGCCAAGCTCCAGCTCCAGTTGACGCAGAGATCGCGGTGATCGAAGAGGTTCTGGATGAAGAGCAGGTTCCTCCACCAGTGCTGCGTGCAGAGCTCATCGTACCGCTCGTTGATGTGGTAGAGGGAGACGTCTCCGATGTAGGCAAAGGCCAGGTCAACGCTGCCCATGAGAATGAGGTAGAGGGGGCCCAGCCTCAGGTATCGGTGGAACAGCAGTTTGCCAAAGAGCTTGGCATTGCCCCATAGGCCATTGCGACGCACTGACTCCATTTGCTTGGCATTCCGCATGAAATTGTAGGTCTGCAGGAAGCCACTGAAGCCACAGATCGTATGGATCCAGAATTAGGCAGGAAGTTACATATGTGAAAACTGGGGGGAGACTTACCTGATGGTGAAAAAAACATCCACCAGGAGGGGGGCCGAGGAGACGTACTGGAAGAAGGCCTTCTCAGCGTACGATAGGAGCACCACCTTGTTGTGGACGGTGAAGTACATGTACCAAACCACGTGGAAGATCAGTATCCCGATGGCGCACGCCGAACGCAGTCCATTCATGATGGGAATCTCTCCGGAGCTGTTCTCCCTGGTGGCAAAGATCTTCCTCCAGTTAGTGGGCACATCGTAGCACGATACGAAACTCTGCAGGGGCTGCCACTTCAACATTGTGTCCAGAGTCTGCCACAGCTCTGACTCTACTGGCGCCAGTCCGGGACTGGGCTCATCCCCACGCTTGGCTACGCGCAGCTGCTGGGCACAAAGCGTCAGAGCTCCAGTGACCAGAAGCGAAGCCACCATCAGCTTGAAGGACGTTCGCTGGAAGAACCTTTCGCTCAGCTTCAGATCCTTCATATATAGTACTTCTGGTCGCATGTCGAAGATGTCGTTCTTGATGAAGCTACCATCCGTCACGTATTCCCTGGCCAGCTGCTTCACCTCCTCCGATTCGCACGCCTTTGGCAGGCAGAGCCCGATGTGAAGGATCTGTTCCGACATCAGCTTGATCTCCACCTGCCAGGGCGAGCTGTGCCGCAGGTAGATCATCCGGTAGTCCATGTCGAAGGGGGCGCTCTGGGTCAGAATGCTGTAGTGCATCACCCGCTCGTAGTTTCTCGACAGCGTGATACCCACCGGACGCTGAACCCCTTCGCAGGCTGCCCGGCTTCCTAGCCAGTAATTCTGGCCAAACACGAAGCCCGACGGCTTGGTCCCGGAGGCGTCGAGCACTGGTAGTATGGTAGAGAATGGTGTTAGCGTTGTCTCGAGACTTGGCACGAATCGACCCAACTCACCTTTCATGGCCCACGGCTGTTGGCTGAGGATGCCCCGCTGTACTTGCTGCAGCTGGGTGTGGCACACTCCATTCACATTGCTCTCGTTGGCGGCTTTGGCCAGGCCAAAGATGATAGAGCTGCGAATCAGATGCGTCTCGTGATCTCTATCTAACTGGGAGCTTCTTCGGGGCGGAGGCAGAGTCGGATGAGGGGAAGGGGCTTGGGTGGCATTGAGTTTTCCATAACTATAGCGGTAATGACTTGGTGTGGACTCGTTTACGGCAGCATCAGCCGCGAGTGCTCCAAAGATCCAAACTATGATGACGGCCGCTTTCCAATCTCTCCCCATGCCGATCGTCCGCTAACGAGCGGGAGCTGGAAGATTGCAGAAGTTGTTTACCCATAAACACGACGAGTGAGAGTACTTGTGCTGTCAAGTACACGTAGTGAAACACGCGACAATAGCGGCCCTTTAGGAATCGTTTAGTGGAGTGGCGGCACAAACATTGACGAAAACCATTTCTCGGTGTGCACAACCTACCGTAACAGATTCGATGCATTTTGAAGCTGAGTTCGGAGCTCCAGTGTACGGGGAAATACACGGGGAGGCATCCATCTATTGCCTAACATTTGCTGACGCTGATCTCAAGACCTCGCAAGCCGCGGGACGGACATGGCCCGGGGAACGAACAGATGCAGAACATGTGTTATTCCATCAGACCGACTCGAATATCAATTGCAGAGCATGGATGTGCTGTGAGTGATGGAAGTGACACGGCGCTGGACAAGGTGGAGTTCAATTCAAACATCAATTAGCTACATCCGAGGCTGGAGTGCGTCTCAATGCCAGCCCGGGACGTAGGCCACATTGCGGCGGATTAGTTTTATATTCAAGCGAAAAATCTCACCAAAAATACGTACTCGTACAGATAATGGACGGTCGTCACTTGAAGGTTTATGGGCCGCCAAAAGCAAAAACCCCTTCGATCTTGTCACTGGCTGCTTATTCATTAGACCTCAAGTATTGATTGTATGGGAAGCTCAAAGAGCAAGAGATCTAACTGTGAAATATTATTGATACTTAATTATTTCTCCATTGTGCAAAGATCACCGACTAGAGAGGGTTATATTCGGGATGGACTACCATTAACCTAGTCCATCGATCGATTGAAGGTTTATGGGCTGCCAAAAGCAAAAACCCCTTCGATCTTGGAACTGGCTGCTTATTCATTAGACCTCAAGTATTGATTGTATGGAAAGCTCAAAGAGCAAGAGATCTAACTGTTAAATATTACTGATATTTTATTATTTCTCCATTGTGCAAAGATCAACGACTAGAGAGACCCTAGTCCATTGGTCGATTAGTCACTCCTTGGCTCGCCCCAACCCAGCGCCGGGAATGTGCGACAGAATTGAATTGCTCACGTTGGGATTCCAGCCAAATTTGTGTTTGTCTCAAATACTTATCCCATTCAGGCAGTATTTGCTTAGGTCTCGCATGCTGATCGACAGCCAGAGCCTCAGCTTTAGCTCCCTGAGGCTCTTTGCTAATTTAATGCATGCGTGGACAAAAATCGAATAATTTTCGAATATTTTCAGTACTGTTGAAGAAGATCCATCCAATCCATCCCATCTAAGACGTGTAGTAAGCCGAGCGGCAAGCGAGTTGGCATTTTATTGTATGGCAGTTAATGGGTTTCCGATTTAATAAAACCGTTTCAAGGGTAAATCTGCGCTTGGATTCGCATCTCTTTTTTTTTGGCTATGCAAATGAACCTTCACCTTAACTTTGGCAGCCAGCGAGTCGGATCCCGATCGAAAGCTATTCGCCCAGTTTTTGTCCACACTTTGGACAAACGATGGTTTTGTAACTAATATTAGTGGCTTTTTTGCAACTGACTCCGGTTTTGGCATGTTTGCTGGCTCGACTTTGTATGGAAATGGTTTGTTTTGTTATTAATGAAAATGGCATAAGCAAGTTTACTGATTTATTGTTTTTGCTCCTTATTTCTGCTACTCGTATGTGGGTCATGTATCAATTTGGCACAGGTTGAAATTAGTTTTTATGGGTCGTCACTCGAGTTGATCTTAAAGCAAATCCGAATTCGTTTGAACCACTTCTATGGGTATGAACACTTAAATTGACCTACTTTCCGAGTTGAAGAAAACAAATATCCAATCAATACAGAATTATCCTTGAATTATTGCTTTTATTCGACTTGTTTTGTTCGGTTTTATCTGCAGATCTCCACTTGTCGGAATAGAAACCAAAACAAAACTCCTGCACGTATTTCAAATTTCCGTTTATTTTTTTTGAAGTTGGCTCGCGCCGGTTTGCGTCTGTCCGCGAAACTGTGGCGCCCTTCGCTGCGGCTCCAACCTTTATAAACTCCGTGAGCGCTGGAAACACGTGAACAGGTAGCAATCTCGGCATCGGCATCGGCAGCAGCAGCATCAGCGGCAGTGCCAGCGCCAGGGGCAGCAGATTGACAACCTGAAACAACAACAGCAACAAGTCCAGTCCATCGATGAAAGCGAAATTGTCGTTCAGCTGTTTTGTTGTTGTTTTGTGTTTATTTGGGGCTTTGGGGGAATCTGGCTGACGGCGTGCAGTCGGTATTGCGTCTGCGTCACGGGCAGAGCTTGGAACAGCTCTCATCGGCATTTCTGGTTTTTCATTGAGTCGATTGAAGCGTTCATTGACACTTTGCTTCGATAAGGGGGCGTGAATCCTCATTGCAGGGTTAGTCTGGTTAATAATAGCTGGAAGGAGTAATACAAAATCGGAGGTAGTACTTTAATTGCAGCTTCTACAGAAATAACACACAGAATAAACTGAACATAAAGGAACAACGTCGAATAGAAAGTGCTACTATATTATATGCAGGGTCAACAGGAATTACACATGTATGTATATGGAGATACGAAAAATTAAATTGAGCTGGAATTGGAAGCTGGATTTGTAAACTGTTTTCTTTTGATAAAAACATTTCCACAAAAAAAGCAAGACCATTTGGTTACCATGGCCCCTATATATGATATAGTGATCTTTTGAGTTATTCAAAAGATATATGTATGTATATAGTTACACAAATGCACATTGGGTTGATTGTATTCATAGATTTTAAACCGATTTCGACAAATCTGCAAATTCATGAAATAACTGATTAGAAACAGGCTGGGTATATTCGACATGGAGTCCTGAAATGTATGTAAATTCTACCACGTCCGCTCTGCAATTTGAAGTAATGAATGAATCCTTAATGAATCCTTATTTAGTTAACGCCCTCAATTAAACGAGATATAAATATGAGTAGCTGGGAAGCTGAGTGGCGGTGGTTGCGCCATGGTTACATTGGCGACAATTTGATCTCCAAATTAAATATAAAAAGCTAGAAATATATACGCGCTGAACGTAAAATATTTGATTCTATAAAGAAACAGAAAAGTTTGAATTTTTGTTGCCGATATTTCGCGCCTACAAGAATATATGTGTTAGAGATGTGTACATAATATATTGAAATATGTTCCGTCAGGGCAAAAAATACCGACCAATATCATATCGATGTTTTGGTTGCTTAACATCCCATCTCTATTGTCAGGGCTACCACTTACGGTAAATTATATTTTCTATTTATTTTGATGTAAAAATTGAGTTAAAGTTGAGTTGGATATATACGGTAAATCGGTATTTCATCAAACCACTAACTTCAATTTTTAAAGGTAGCATAGCTTATCAATAGTGGTATTTTTTCGGGATTTTTTTAGGTCAAAATTGAACCGACGGTATATTTACGGTATATCGGTATATAATGGTATATTATGTCAATTTCATCAATCTATTAAGTACCATTTTCAAAGTTATATAGAAATCCAATAAATGCAAGTATTTCGAATAGACCAATAATGTATAGAATTGATTCATCAATCGTATAAAATTGAGTGGGCATGGCTAAATGTTCCATATAGATAGTATTATTCAACGGAACAAAGAATATGAGGAATTTGAATTCGCCGCAGTTCGCTTTAAAACAATGAGTCCCATTCCATACACAATGCTGCGGCAACATTTACTTGAAAACCGTTTTTTGGTCAAAATAAAATACTTACAAGCAATTTAAAGAAGCAATCTTGTAAAAAATGTATTTATCTATGGGATAAAGCTAAGTGGGCAAATCTATATAGCGATTCCCCGCAGTTTCGCTTTTGCAACAATGAGTCTCATTCCATACACAAATGTTGCTAATTTACCAGCAACACTGCCACTGTTTTTTTGTTGAATTATTTTGCTTAAACCTTGTTTTAGTCAAAATACAATATAAGCAAGGACTAAAAACTGGCCAGTTAAGTAGAAAATTGATTCATTAATCGTATAAAATTATGTGGGCATAGATAAAGGCCCGGTTGACAACATTTAAATCCTTGTCGCTCACATTCAAAAAAGTTCGATTTGGCGCGCACCACTCGGTATATTTTTCAAATGAGACCGTATATTTTGGTGCTGTTCTGAGGGTTATACTGTAAAAACTGATTTTCGCCGCGCTCCTAAATGGTATTTTTGTCATCTATTAATTTCATTTTCAATGTTATATAGAAATCCAATAAATGCAAGTATTTCGAATAGGCCAATCACGTATAGAATTGATTCATCAATCGTACAAAATTGAGTGGGCATGGCTAAATGTTCCATATAGATAGTATTATTCAACGGAATATCAAAAACGAGGAATATGTAAAATAGAACTTGAATTCGTCAGTATATTAACGGTATATTTTTTAAATGAGACGGTATGTTTCGGTATATTTCTGACGGTCGGACGGTATATTTTATCGATAAGTCTGCTGGTCACACTGGCAGGTCATTGTAAAATTTTGCCCAAAAAACGATAATCGTTTAAACCTTGTTTTAGTCAAAATCCAAAAAAAGCAAGCATTAAAAACTAGCCAATCTTGAATAAAATTTATTCATTAATAGGCTGAAATCATTTGGGCACGTCTAAACGTGCTATATAGCTGAGAATATGCCACGGAAGATGAAAAACAAGGAATATGTAAAATAAAACTTGAATTCCTCAGTATTTTTACGGTATATTTTTTAAATGAGACGGTATGTTTCGGTATATTTCTGACGGTCGGACGATATATTTTATCGATAAGTCTGCTGGTCACACTGGCCGGTCATTGTAAAATTTTGCCCAAAAAACAAACGACGCGAAAAAAAAATGAAAACGCAATATAGAAAAACAAAATTAAAGTGAAATTAAACGCAACAACGTCGGATAACAGGTGCGGTAGCTAGTTGAACAATAGTCGAAGCGAACACAAGAAACGGCGAAGTGCTAAAGAAGTCTAGCTTCGGGAAAAAAGAGCCATAAAAATCGATTCTTCAAAGAAGTCACAGCACAGTCATACGCTGCGGGCAAGAATTTTCGCGCGGGCGGTGTACCCTGGATTGGTACCTGGCGTTACTTTTGCCTACAGCTCGCCAATTTAAAAGGGGCCTCGAAAAACTTTAGATCTAGCCACTGTGTGAGCGAGGGGAGAGAGTGGTGTGGAGGCCATCCCAACCTGTGCACTGTGTACTATGCACCTGTAATTGTGTGAGTGAGAGTGTGTGTGTTCATGTGCGAAAAGATAATTCTATTTGAGGGTACATTTATTTGTTTGCGAAACAAACGAACCTACAAATCGGACAGGACATTCGAATCATAATCTTAATTAACTAATTTTGGGCAAACATTTGAGTGTGCGTCGCGGCGCGCATATAAAGAATGTCAGCACACAACAGTGAAACGCATGTGTGTTGTGTGAATGTGTCTGTGCGCAGTAATAACAAAGCAGTGAATGACGAAAGTCAAGAATGAAAGGGAAATATGCCTCCCCCCCCAGGCACAGGCAAAGGCAAACACACACACAGTCCACCCCCCGCATGACATATATATGTATTGTTGGATGTGGGTCTGTCTGCGCGGCGCTAATTGAATAGCTCACACAATTTTGGCGCACTCCCCCCTCGCTAGTCCGCTTAGAGCCTTACAACTTCCACCTGCCTTATAGATTGCGTGCGCACGACTCCCCCGAGGACAACAAAACCATCAAAAAATATCCATAATAAAGGACACCCAACTCTGCCGTCCGTATAGTCCCCTCTGGCGTCGAACGGGGCCAAGTGAGTGGTGCATGAATCACTCCCTCGCCCGCATCAACATCCACATCCATCACCAGCTTCGAAGCCTTCACGATGTCAAGTGATAAGATCAAAGTTGCTGTAAGGGTGCGACCCTTCAATCGCCGCGGTAAGTACATTTTCCCTTGGCCATAATCCTCCATCTGTGATTAGCTCTGCGGGAGCTGCTGTACCAGTAAAGCCGTAGTAGTATCCCCACAACTCAGCTCCCTTGCAATGAACAATGCCCCATGTACTGGAACTGCAGTGCCACACAGTCAATGCTCCTCTCTTCTCTAAATCAATAATGCAAACAGGCACCAGCCAGCAGCCAGCAGCAAGGGTCGGTTTTTTTAGGCTAACAAAATTTACATGGCTCTTTGGCGTTTCCTTTGAATTTCGGTTTCGTTTTCGTTTTTCCTCCACTGCTGCGACAGCAAATTTTTCGTTTTATACCAGAGAGGCGCAGCGGACTACCTACGGCCCCGAGCCCTGGGCCCTGGCCTGTCAGCAGCCTGTGTGACTTACAGCGATTTTCGTTTCGTTTCCAGCTAATTTTGTGTGTCTCCCATTGCAGCGGTGAAGTGTTGCAAGTGCAAAAACAAGCAACGGCAACAGCAACACCAACAACAGTGTCAGTCAGCATTTCCAATGTCAACGCCGATCATTCATTTGGCTTATCCATGACTCACACGGGGCGAAAGCGGAAATGAAGGAAGAAACTGTTGGGGACGGGCAGGCACAGGCAAAGGCACAGCCACAGGCATGGCATAGGCAGAGGCAGAAGCAGACACAGTGTGGGGCAAGGTTCACTTGGATTCTCGCATGAATAGGGACTTATTGATTGGATGCCAAAAGTGCTTGAATGGTGGCAGAGTTTCCCCGCCCGTTGATAATGTTTTTATTAATTTCATGGTTAGTTTTCCTGCTCTCCGTTTCCCTGTCATGTCCCTCGCTTGTTATTCGGGTTGATTATGTGTAGTTGTGTGACTGTATGCGGGAATCGTAGTCACCAGAATGTCTGCGATAAGCAGTGCAGAAATGTTATCTCAGCTGATAAACGTGTGACTGGTGGATGTTCCACATGAAGTGTGCGGGCCCGTAATACAGCCATTAGTCAATCTTTGGCATCGTATTTGGGC